TTTTAATCCATTTGGATAAACCCTCGAAGAAAAAAGTGACAAAATTGATTTTGACTAGGGTCGCCCCTAGTCCAAAATTTAAAATGTATTTCCTACTTGGTTCTTTGCTCAAAAAAATTTTAGGATGTTTTATTTCTATTTTTTTAAGCACTTGCAAAGTTTCAATCCATTTGGATAAACCCTCGAAGAAAAATGTGACAAAATTGATTTTGACTAGGGTCACCCCTAGTCCAAAATTGAAAATGTATTTCCTACTTGGTTCTTTGCTCAAAAAAATTTTAAGATGTTTTATTTGTATTTGTTTTAAGCACTAGAATATTTATGCAAAGTTTTAATCCATTTGGATGAACCCTCGAAGAAAAAAGTGACAAAATTAATTTTGACTAGGGTCGCCCCTAGTCCAAAATTGAAAATGTATTTCCTCCTTGGTTCTTTGCTCAAAAAAATTTTAAAATGATTTATTTGTATTTGTTTTAAGCACTTGCAAAGTTTTAATCCATTTGGATAAACCCTCTAAGAAAAAAGTGAGAAAAATGATTTTGACTAGGGTCACCCCTAGTCCAAAATTGAAAATGTATTTCCTACTTGGTTCTTTGCTCGAAAAAATTTTTGGATGTTTTATTTGTATTTGTTTTAAGCACTAGAATATTTATGCAAAGTTTCAATCCATTTAAGTAAACCCTCGAAGAAAAAAGTGACAAAATTGATTTTGACTAGGGTCGCCCCTAGTCCCAAATTGAAAATGTATTTCATACTTGGTTCTTTGCTCAAAAAAATTTTAGGATGTTTTATTTCTATTTTTTTAAGCACTTGCAAAGTTTCAATCCATTTGGATAAACCCTCGAAGAAAAAAGTGAGAAAATTGGGTCGCCCCTAGTCCAAAATTGAAAATGTATTTCCTACTTGGTCCTTTGCTCAAAAAAATTTTAAAATGTTTTATTTGTATTTGTTTTAAGCACTTGAATATTTATGCAAAGTTTCAATCCATTTGGATAAACCCTCGAAGAAAAAAGTGAGAAAATTGATTTTGACTAGGGTCGCTCCTAGTCCAAAATTGAAAATGTATTTCCTACTTGGTTCCTTGCTCAAAAAAATTTTAAGATGTTTTATTTGTATTTGTTTTAAGCACTAGAATATTTATGCAATCACTAGTTCTAGCATTAGAATATCCTACTTGGTTCTTTGCTCAAAAAAATTTTTGGATGTTTTATTTGTATTTGTTTTAAGCACTAGAATATTTTTGCAAAGTTTCAATCTATTTAAGTAAACCCTCGAAGAAAAAAGTGACAAAATTGATTTTGACTAGGGTCGCCCCTAGTCCAAAATTGAAAATGTATTTCCTACTTGGTTCTTTGCTCAAAAAAGTTTTAGGATGTTCTATTTGTATTTGTTTTAAGCACTAGAATATTTATGCAAAGTTTCAATCCATTTGGATAAAACCTCGAAGAAAAAAGTGAGAAAATTGATTTTGACTAGGGTCGCCCCTAGTCCAAAATTGAAAATGTATTTCCTACTTGGTTCTTTGCTCAAAAAAATTTTTAGATGTTTTATTTGTATTTGTTTTAAGCACCTGCAAAGTTTCAATCCATTTGGATAAACCCTCGAAGAAAAAAGTGAGAAAATTGATTTTGACTAGGGTCGCCCCTAGTCCAAAATTGAAAATGTATTTCCTACTTGGTTCTTTGCTCAAAAAAATTTTAGGATGTTTTATTTGTATTTTTTTGAAGCACTAGAATATTTATGTAAAGTTTTAATCCATTTGGATAAACCCTCGAAGAAAAAAGTGACAAAATTGATTTTGACTAGGGTCGCCCCTAGTCCAAAATTTAAAATGTATTTCCTACTTGGTTCTTTGCTCAAAAAAATTTTAGGATGTTTTATTTCTATTTTTTTAAGCACTTGCAAAGTTTCAATCCATTTGGATAAACCCTCGAAGAAAAATGTGACAAAATTGATTTTGACTAGGGTCACCCCTAGTCCAAAATTGAAAATGTATTTTCTACTTGGTTCTTTGCTCAAAAAAATTTTAAGATGTTTTATTTGTATTTGTTTTAAGCACTAGAATATTTATGCAAAGTTTTAATCCATTTGGATGAACCCTCGAAGAAAAAAGTGACAAAATTAATTTTGACTAGGGTCGCCCCTAGTCCAAAATTGAAAATGTATTTCCTCCTTGGTTCTTTGCTCAAAAAAATTTTAAAATGATTTATTTGTATTTGTTTTAAGCACTTGCAAAGTTTTAATCCATTTGGATAAACCCTCTAAGAAAAAAGTGAGAAAATTGATTTTGACTAGGGTCACCCCTAGTCCAAAATTGAAAATGTATTTCCTACTTGGTTCTTTGCTCGAAAAAATTTTTGGATGTTTTATTTGTATTTGTTTTAAGCACTAGAATATTTATGCAAAGTTTCAATCCATTTTAGTAAACCCTCGAAGAAAAAAGTGACAAAATTGATTTTGACTAGGGTCGCCCCTAGTCCTAAACTAGAAGTCTCTACGATGTCTCGTTATTGAGATTTTCTGCCGATTATCTTGCTTGCTTGCTTGCTTTCAGAAAGCGTATTTTTCGATTTTCTCAGCAACGCCGCAACCAATTTGAAATCTGTTTTTTTCATAAGATGTAAAATTTCAGGCACAAACTTTTCTTCTCTATCTATTTTTAGCTAAAATGCTTCGTTAACTCACATAATCCAAAAAACTGATTTTTCAATCTGAACAAAAACAAAACATTCACACGTGAAACGGTGTAAATATAAAAATTATATCGTTAAGTTTCCTATATTTTGATTAGCTAAGGGAGCACTTTTTATATTTTTCATATCAGACATGTGCTCATATATGCATGCGTTTATCTACGACAATTTTTTTACTGTGCAGGATGTTAAAGCAATAAATGAGGACGAAAAATCTGACAAATCAATTTTTGGCATATTTACAATTTGACTGATAACGTGCTTATTTGCATCACTATTATCACATGTTGCTGCCTTAAGGAAATTTTTATCTGTCAATTTAAGGCACTAAAATTTTTTTCATTTTTTATTATGCGATTCTTGGCAATAAGAATTTTTTTTATAAAATAAAAGAGATGTGCACCCTAAAGTATTTATTCAAAGCAAGTCCGTAATGCTTGCCATATTAAACCTTTAATTAAATTTTTTTCATGACTCAATGAGAACTTCTCTACAGGTTTAATAAATTTATAGAAAAAAAACATTCTCACTTTGTCAGATAGAATTAAATGCTTCATATCAAATGCGCTGTATACATTTTAACGGCAACTTTGTCCATCTATAATTTTTAAAACAAATTCCCGCAGCAAAAAAAAAACTCAAAATAAAAATGTTTAGAGGAAATGATTGACATAACAGCAAAGTAAGAGACACACGACGACCACCAACTGATTATTTTCATTTTAAAATAATAAAAATTCAGAAAAATATGAAACTCATTATTAGCAAATAGAATGAAAATTATATGCCACGTGTGATGAGAATTCTTGGGTATTTAAAGGAACAAAGTTTTTGAAATTTTTTAAAGTTCCCATTTAAGGGTGAATAAGTAAATCAATATAATGATTTGTTAATCAAACATTTTACAAGTTGTACACAAATTACGTCACGCAAAAAATTAAACTCTCATCCCTCCTTCTCACAAAATGTGTATGAAGAAAAAAAATTTGTCGTCTGATCTGTCACAAATTCTTTTGCACCCCCCCCCCCCTAAATCGTGACGTAAATTGCGAATGACACATTATACCATAATTTTATGATATTTTTGTTGCACAATGAAATGTCAATGAGTGGATAAAAATATGAAGAGGGATATTGTAAAATTGAATCTAATTATACCTCATGTTGTGGTGAATTAGTTTGCTGTAATTGTTGTAAAAAAAAAGAAAAATCATAGTTGTTGGGAATACCCATGCTGCATGTTAAAGCGATGGGAATTTGGAATTTCCCTAAATATGTTTTGTCTCTTAGAATAATGTTCACAAGTAAAATAAATAAATTTATTAAATCATGAACTGATCACGCTTCTAAAGACGAGGGAGTCTGCAATTTTTTGACTTCACACTCCACCATATCAGAATATTTATAATAAGTATACCTATTTCGAGTTATGAATGTGAATAGGGCCTTGATATTTTTTTAAGGATTTGCTTAGCGGAAAAAATAATATGAATTTTTCACTAACACTATTATACAAAACATCAAAAATTAAATTCTCAAAATTCTTAATTATTCAATTATTAATCCCATTTATAATGATTTGAATACGAAAAGTGGATGATACATAAGCTGTTCTGACTATTTTAAGAGCTTTTACATCATTATTGGGTGATATTTTCCTGACTTTTTAAATTTCATTTTTGATTTTGTTTGTAAACAAACAAAATAAACTCAAAAAGAACAGAATTGAATTTCAAGGGTCAGACACTCCAAAGTATTGTACGGTATTGTACAATACTTACAATACTTACAATACTTTTCGTACAAGTATTGTAAGTATTGTAGGTATTGTATAATACTTTCATATGTATTGTAAAGTATTGTACAATACTTTTGGAGTGTCTGACCCTTGTTGAATTTAAGACGTAAAAAATTACATTTGGAGATATATCAATAAACAATAATGAAGATACAGCATAATTCCCAAAAATTGGACGTAAGTGACGCTTGGGTAAAGTGATTTTTTTAAGCAACTACAAATTTTCAAGAAGTGAATATTACAACAATAGATGGGGATTTCAATTCTCTTTTTAAAATAAAAAAGTAACTCTTAAATTTGTCACTTTTAAGGATAAGGAGATAATCAAGAATAACAAAGCGTCACTCACGTACAATTTTTTGTGACGAGGCCCAATAATATTGGTGAATTCAAAATCAACTCATAAACGCTTTATTAAGCTTAAAATTTTTTAAACACGTTTTGATGAAATTAACGGTTTTTTTTTAAATTAAGCGACGCTTTAATAATTTACTAGTTTGTTTACAAACAAATTAGATTTTACAAATATTTTTAAAAATTTAGTTTTATCTATATTTAAGTGAATTTACAGTATGGATCTCAATAATTCTGCAAGCAGTACAGATACAGATGTACTTTTGAAGATTCCACATAACTTTTTTGAGCCACATTTAAATGAAAATGCAAATAAAAGCCATTTTTCAAATGAAGGAAGTTTCATACATGAAATAGACAAGTTTTTGGTCGCAAATAAACAAAATGATGTGCATAATTCTACTACAAATGAATTCATCAGTTATACACGATTTGCAGATACATTGCAGCAATCACAGATCAATCCAGAGGAGCAAGATATAAACATCCAGATGATCAGCATTTTTCAGAAAAAAATTATTCAATGCCAACAAAAAATTTCAGTATTAACAAAATCTAATGTTGAAAAGGATGAAATAATACGTCGTTTAAAGTCCAATGAAGGATTGGATATTGAAAATGCAAATTTAAAGCATAAGATAAAGATGCTTGAACAAGAAATGCAAGAAACAGTGGGCGTAATAAATAAATTTAAGACTAAAAATGAAATGCTGGAACTTAAGATTGAGAACCTTACATCCACTTGTAAAGAAATGAGTGACATTTCCAAAAAACAAATTCAAGAATTGCAAATACGTCTATCAAACAGCTCGAAATTGGAAAGTGATTTGCACAAAGAAATCGTGGAACTAAAATCCAAGTACCGGGAAGAAAAGGAGAACTTCATTAAAGAAAAAAATGAAAGGTCGCATATGGAAAGAGAAGTCAATAATTTGAAATCAGTCTTGAAGCAAATCAAAGAAGATAAAGTCAAATTAATTGAAAGAAATGAGCAAGATAAGCAAATTATAGATATTAAGCAAAAGAAAATCTTCAACAACATGATGAGTGAATTTACAGAGAAGGAAAGGAAGCTTGTTAAGGAAATGGATGTTCAAAGAACTGCAATTAAAAATTATTATCAGGCACAACTCGAGTCAGCTCTAGAAGAAAAAATAAAGGAATTTCAAGAACAGCTAGAAAAGTTTCAATATGAAATTCGAATTGATGCTGAAGATCGCGAAAAGGCAAGCAATGAACGTGTAATGAACCAAATAGAAATGATTATACAAAAGTAAGTTCTTATAAGAATTTTTCAGTCCGATTTTTGTCATTAATAATATCTTGATATGCTTACAGAAATGAAGAAGAAATTGATTTAATTAAACTTAAGTGCTTAGAGGAAGTAGACTTGTATCGAATACAACTAATTAATGCAACCAAGACAATCGAATCATTAGAAGCTAAACTTGAAGAATATCAAACAAGACGACAAAATATTGCTGACAATCTTCATTCAATCATGGAATCACAATGGAAGAAAATACTTGATGTCCTTACATGCCCATCTAGACCCCCTTCGCGCAAAGATGAAAGCAATGATGTGTCTGAAAGTGATAATAACAAGCAGCAACAGCAATATTATTATGAGCCAATGATGAATAATTTATCACGAAGCGAAGAAAACTTAAAGACAGAACTTTTGCGGAACTATATTGATAAGGTATGTGTCACTATTGTCACATTAGACATGAATACGTTTTGTAATCCCATATTTATCTTTAAGCTTTTAAAACAAAAACCAAAGACTGATGAGTCAAGTGAAATGAAGACAAATAATCAACTAAACAAGTCACAGACGAAGCCTTGGAAGTAATGACTATAAGATTTTGATGTTAACACTTAATGATTTTCTTTCTTTATTGCAATAAATTTTTAATAATATTTTGTTATACACATGCGACTTAATAATATATAGCAGTTTGATTAACTTATTCAAAGATCGATCTATATACGCATCATGCTTTAGAGATTATTAATAATAATGGAATAGTATCATAATTAATTTATTATGAGAACTTGGGAGAATCTATACAGTTATTTTTAGTCTAATGAGTTGAGCGTCAAGAGCTGTTTCAGAACTTTGGTCTGCGAAGTTTCCCGAATCTCTCCAGCCAAAAACATCTCATCGACGACTGTATAAACTTTATAAAAATTAAAAACTAGATCCAGTTCGCATACATTATGGAAATATTCGTTTAAAACTTCAACAAAATTGTGAATGGCTTCGAGATAACACAAATTATTATCATTCACGTCAACACATATGCAGAAATATAATCCAGCATAGCGTCTGTAGACTATTTTGAAGTTTCGGAACTGAAATCATTAGAAAACTTTAATATTTTTTGGAATTAATGTGATTGCCAGTTCTTACCTCAACAAAGTTAGTATGCTTGGCATCTCTCACAGTAACAACTGCATGAACTTCCTCTATCAACTTCTGTTTTTCATCATCATCAAATGCCTGGATTTCAGAGGAACAAGATTAATCACAAAGTAAAGTCAAATTTGACGTGACAGAATGCTTACCATATACCATTTTGCTAATCTTGTTTTTCCAGCACGGTTTTGAATAAGGATAAATCGAATCTACAAAAGTTTAATTAATTAATGTGACATAAAAATCTAAAACAATCCAGGAAGAGTAAAATTGTCAAATATTCAATAAATACAGGAAAAATTAGAAAAACATGAATATTAAACTATTATATACATCTATTACAATGATATTTAGGACTTTAAGTAATCAAAAAAGCAGTAATTAATATAAATAATTAACAATCACCATTTTTCTTATTTTATTATCACTTTTCACAAAATTATTATTCTTTTTATTATTCAAAGCGTTGCTTTAAAGACTCTTAAATCTTCAAAGACCGTTATTTAAAAAAATAGTGATTATTGGCGCAAAACAAGTTTAAGTAGTTGAAAAATATTAAAATGAGATTAAAATTTATAATTAATGATCGCGACAAGATTAAAGGATTTGTCTATAGTATTCAAATGTTGTCTAAACATACAGATCGGCTAATATTTGTTGTTAAAGATAGTAAGTTTAAATTAATAAGCATATAAAATCAATTTTAACGATTCATTAAATAGAGATGGACAAGAACAAAACAGGATCAGTATCCGAAAAGTTTTATTAAACATCTTTTTTTAAACTTTACATGATATATTAAATGTTCTTTTTCATTCTTATAACATATCAGCCTCAATTTTTTTCTTAAAGATTTGATGACAGTTCTTGTGGAACATCCTACTTGTATGTGGATAGACATTGATGTATTAAGACTATTTCATAAATATGAATTTGACGGGTACATTGATGGTGATAAAGAAGAAGATTTTATTTATTTCGATATAATTGCTAGTCAGCTATTATATCCACTTGAAGCACTTTTATCAAGCGAAGTAGACTATACTGAAATATCAATCGTAAAAAATAATGTTGCACCATTCCTTAAAGTTTACGCAAAGCCAGGTTCTGAAGATAATAGTGCAGTTTTCAACAGTCAAATTCCAATGATAAGTAAGTCTTTTTGTTTTAAACCAATAAATAGATTGCTTAACACTTGTTTCGTTTCTTTTTAGTCATACCAAAAAAACAGTGGAAAACAGTAAAGATCCCTAGAGATTTACCATATGATGGATATTGCAGAAGTCCAAGATTTCCAATTTTTCGCAACTATATTGATATTTACCGAATTTTCAAAATACTCAAGTTTCGCATACAAAGCAATGGACTGGCTTTAGAAGGAGGAAATGAATTAGCTAGCCAAGTATTGACTTATTTCGAAGATGTGATTCCTAGAGATGAATATGGAAAAAGGGCAGAAAAGTCTATTTGCGCAATAGTAGATTCACGACGGTTATCTGGGATTTATCATTCCATCAATATCCTTAATTTAATGAAACCGAGAGTTGTTTGTCGTGTCAAGCACTCAAAATATTTATTAATGGACTTTTCCAACGGAGACGAAACAATTCATTATAAATTTGTAATGGAAAATTTGGAGGAAGTCGTTGATGATGATAATTATAAAATGTTCGAGAAATATCGCCAAGACGGCAATTTATTTTAATAATTATCTTAAAAACGTTATTCAAAGGCTCAAATTAGAATAAATCATATTTTTTATTAAAAAAGCTCTTCATTAAATTATTTGGTTATACTATAGAAGATAATAAAAGGATATATGTAAATAAATGATATCACAAAGAAGTGGATAATGTACGAAGAAAGGTATAAGTTACAAATAATAAGGAAACATGTTTTCTTGATTTATTTATGTCACAATTAAACTTACAAACTAATCGATGTGCTACATAAAATGAGTGATAAAGTTAAAATGCCAAATATACGAAAAAAGCTTTAAAAGCATGCATGCAAAACCAGCAGCATTAATCATTCCATGAGATTCGTAGTTATCGTAAAAATTCCTTTTCAAAAGCAAGATATTTTGTGTCTGTGTGTTCACTAACTTATAATAATTGTGTGATATAACGTTATATCTTGTATGAGTACTTAGGTATATAAAAAGTTCACTCCGTATGTAAAAAATCCTTTACTCTAAAAAAGTTTCGGTCATTCCATACAAAATTGTCATCTCTTGCCTTCCTTTACACTACATTCTAAAAATATTGTTGTTGCATTTTAAAAAGCTTTTAAAAAATTGCAGGTTCATGTTATGTCTGTGAAGCTAAACTTCACGGATTTTTTTTCAATTTGATTATACAAAAAAATAGTAATTACTAGAAAAGATTAGAAATCAGTTTCAGTGTAAATATTCGATGAATTAGTACTTAAAGTAAAGGTAGTAACTTTTGTTGTTTTCGGATCTAAGAGCAACTCATTATTGTTCAAAATATTATTTCCATCCTCAATTCCAACAGTCCATGCAACAACACTGGCATGATCTAATTTTCCAGGAAGCAAATTAAAGTGAGCATCTACAACGCGTTTTCTTGCAGCTCTTTGCTGAAGTCTATTTAATTCTACTTCCTTCCTCTGTCCTTGCGCGTCATGTGAAATCTTCCAAAATAATTCTCGCTGTTCTAAAAGCTTCCTTTTTGCGGATGTAATCATTTTTGTAAAATCGATTAAAAGACTACACAGCTTTTTCGCATTTGTACATGGCCTCAACGTACCATTAATTCCATAACAAAACAAATCAGCCATTCTTAAAAGAGTTAAAGCATGTCGTTGATATGCAGTTACAATCGGCAGACCAGCAGCTGATTTTTTAATGCGAACGAGTGGTGACGATTTGGCTGAAGATATATGTCGAGGCTCGATGAGTGTCTTTGATCGCGTATATTTTGGACGAATTGGCAATTGCTGTACAGGCATTGGATTGCTTATTTGTGCAGAAGTCAGATTTGATTTTTTTGTTCTTGGAGGTCTAACAGGTATATCGGCACTATTAAAAGATAAAGATGAAAGTTTGGACGATGACGTTGATGATGTCGATGAAGTTGTTGAATAATTAGTCATTAATTCTTGCTTACGTCTTGATGACGGCAATGATGATTGTAAACTTGATGCACTTTTATTTTGTCTTTTTGGTGCTAAATCCTTTTTAGGTTCAACAATTTCAGGCTGTTCTTGTGTTTCTGATTCTATTTCTGCAAACTTTCCAACGACAGGATCAAAGTTGTCAGAAATTCCATCAGATGTCAAAAATACAATATCTCCTTTCTCAACTATTGTCATGGATAGTGTCAAATTGCTTAATTCTGGCTTATTTCCATCAACTGGACCTAAAGCTCCCAAAGCGTCTCGCATGTCTCGATTATTTTGTATATCATGTGAACCTTTAATATACAGAAACAATTATTAATAAGATCAAGTAGCTGATTGAATCTAAAATTTCTAAATTGAGCATGACAAATGATTTAAAATAGAACAAGTAATATAAATATATTTTACAGTTCACTAACCTTGCGTAAATTCTCTAACGCCGTGCTTTTTACTATACACATAACCGAGAGAATCACCAACATTGCATGAACAGACAACATATCTATTTTTGTATGTTTCACTATCCGCAATGGGGAATATTACAGCAACAGTTAAAGTCGTCAAATGACCATTTACCTCAAGAATAAAATCTTGAGCTTCCCAAAAGCTTCTCAATAAACTAACATACACTTCGCGAGTAGTTTTGGCAACACTGTTTGGACTGAATAAAGCTCTTGACAAATATTCTATAGATGCTTGTACAGCAGCACAAGATGCGAGTCGTGCCTTAATAAAAAAAAAAATAGAAGATAAATATAATGACGAGAATGCGGAAAACAATAACTAAATGAGAAAAGAATACAGCTCGCATTCATTTTGTTTTTTACGGACCTCATAGTTAAGCAATTTAAATTCAAGATAAAAGTTAAAATGGAAGATCTAGAATTCAAACATTTATGTCTGTATTCCTCACACTTTAAATTATTATATATGTTGTGTTTTGCATTGATAGAAAAGTCAAACTTGTGACTATATTTTAAAAAAAATCAAAATCATTTCACTGTGCCTTCATAATAGCCTTAAAGATATGAATGTTAGATGTATCAATGAGGAATACAAACTTACCAAATGATTAATATAAATGTTTAAATTACAGATTTCCTCTTTTAACTTTGAAACCTTTTTTTAAAATATATGCTTACCTTTTCTCCCCAATTAACCCCATCAGCTAAACTTATACATGCCGAGTCTCGTCGAGCAATCATTCCATAACAGTCAGCAATTGGATCTCCTGCATGAATATTTGTAATGGGATTTTTTTCGTAAAGTGAAAGAGCAACTCCGCAAGTATGTTCATTACAAGGTGCATTCCAATGAGTAACATCTGCTATCAAGTCTGTTTCATTATTTTCTTCATCTGTCGTTTTTTTAAAGTCTGATGGTTTTAAGCCAGTCGTTGATGTCTCCTGCTGAGTACTTTTCCTACTCACATTCGACAATTTTCTTGGATATCGTTTAGGATTATGACGTACTTCTTCATCTTTATCGTCTATAAAATCAATATCACCTCCAGCACTCAAATGAATTCGTGAGCGACGGCAATATGTAAGACCTTCATTTGGCCCTGTAATTGCCGTTCGAATTGTGCTTGGCCCAGTATCGTATTCTTTTAATGATAGCTCCGGTAAATCATTAGGTTGCTTTCCACTATAAATTTGAGTAGATAAACTTGTAATTTGCACTGGCTCGACGGCACTAGTAGATGAAACAAAAGAAGAATTTATTAAATTACTGTCCACTGCACTTTCTTTTGCTAAATGTATAAAAGTGTATGGTAAGATAAACTTATTAGAGACTCAGACTACGAAAATCTGTGAATCTTGTTTATCTCATGTGGAGGTCATATATCTGTTTAATTTCATCTATATATTCCCTTCCTGTCAATTTGAGTGACTCATGTGTTAGTTTTTTTTTTCTTACCTTGATTCCAAATACTTCGTTATGAAACATTGATTATTGGATTTATGAGTTTCTTCACGCGGCTCGTTGATAAAACTCAGTTGCCTAAAATATCCAAATACTTTCTGTCCCAAAGACGGCATTTTCCTGATTTTACTTGCTAATAAAAAGTGGTTTTACATGAAATACATTTTCCTTTGTTTTTATCGATTTTTTTATGTTTTGGTAAAAACTTATCAAATTCACTATATTTGCTACAAAAACTTATGCTCATTCAATAGCACATTATGTTAACAAGCACCATGAAGCGATTTATAATTGAATGAGTTGATTTTAATTGAAGTTATTTTTAATGAAAAAAAAAAATATATTCTAATGAAATTTATGCGAAATAAGAACATAAAATATCTTTACACAAATGTAAGGGGGACTTTTATTTCACTATTTTTGAATTTCCTACAACGGTTATTGCTTTTTCAACAGCATGGCTAGAAATTTTTAAATTCTACAATCTAATAGAGCCGTTGATGATGAAATCAATAAACGTCTCAAGCTTTCTGAGCTATTTTATTCTTCTTCCTTTTTGTGCGTTTTTTTAGAATTTTCGCTTTTTTAAGCGATTTGTGTTTGATAGCTTCTTTCTTTGGAAATGTAGTCTTTTTGTTTATTGTTGTAGTATAAGAAATCTTCTTTGATGACTTGTGAGAGAAGCAGCATGGCGCAAGATCCTCATTAAGGTGTAGAAATGTAACGATTTTATCAATTGGAAACCATTTCCTTGAAAAGCTTTCTAGTATTTTAAAGTCATCGTCATTAGTTATAAATTTCCCATTTTCAGCTACTTCTTTGTATACTACTAATTTATTACATTCCTTGTCATTTCGTTGGCCTTGGATAATGTATCTGCTTTCAGGTAAATTATGTATGCAATTAAATAGATTGAATAGAATATCCATTGAATCTAAAGGATCATAACTGTAATTATTTTTCAATTCATTCTCTATATCCTCAATTTTTAATTTAATAACCGAAAGTATCTCCATTGATCTGACATCTATTCTGTAACGCATCACAATTGTAATTGGTGGACTAAATTTGATTTGGATCCATTCATTCAAAAGTTCTTCTCTAGACATTTTTTCAGCTCCAAAATACGTTTGGTACTCAAATTTAATAGATATAATCACTCTTGTCTCTTCATTTATATAATAAGAATCGTTGCTTATAGAAATCAATAATTTTTGTGAATTTTTTTCTAGTCTCCATAAACTAATCTCATTATTAGCTCCAGCATGCTTTTTGTAGCTCTGAAATATCTTTGACATAATTTCATTCATTTTATTTGGCTTGAAATCGATTTTCGTGCTTTCACTTGTAGTCACAGTTTTGCTTGCGTTATGCCATTCAATATTAAAATTCATTATAAGCTTAATTGCTTCTTCTAGGGCATCATTTTGTGCTATTGTCTTTAAAGGTACTGTTTCGTTCAGATTAAATTTTGTGACACTTCTTTCGTTAGTAAAAATTGTATTAAATTCGGTGCCATCAACAAAGAGTTTTGTAAGGACGTCTAATGAGATCTGTATATTTGCTCTTGCACTAATTTTGCTATCCACATAGAATAAATGTTTAAACTGTGAAAATAATTGAATGCTTTCCGCAGAAACGTCTTGTAAATTAGGAAAAAGCTCATCTGGTAATTTATATAAATCATACCGGAAGTTGTCTTTTTGATCTTCAATATGATCAATGGAAATACTAAATGCTGGCTTTATAAACGAATTTCTGACAATCATAGTAATTGCTTGATACTTTAAATATGGAAATTGAACCACGATTCTTTTCCACTTATCGATAAGTATCTCTTTGAATGTATCACATACAAGATTATTGAATTGTGTAATATGCCGATGATAATAGATTTCCGCACATCTAGCAAATTTACTAGCTTCCTTTTGCCACTTTTCATCCAGTTCTTTTGAAAGTGGATTATTACATTTCACCAATGGCAGTGAATTTTGAAGGTATTTTGGATTATAAATTGTGTCATTCAATAAGAGACTTAAAATTTCAATTTGTTCATGCTTTTTTAATTCAGATGGATAGCTGTATTCTCTAATCATTGCATTGGATGTTTCTATTTTGGAGAATTTGTTAACTCTTGGATCTTTTAACTCAACAAATTCAGAACTAGATATTTCACAGTAATTTGCTGCAATCTCTTCAGGTGTCTTTAATATTCGATATTCACTTTGTTTAGGTATAACACACGTATGAATTTCATTTAAATTACGCGATAAAGAATCATTGTCATTAATTGTCTCAAAGTTAAAATTTCTCGGCAAATATTTCTTGTCTTCTTCATATTTGTGCCATGACCTGTAATTATATGCGATTATAAATCAATTACTAATAATTAATATATTTGTCTTACCAATTTAATTGCTTAAACTGCTCCATTTTTTAATTTTTTAAAAATGTTTTTAAAGAAGCACTCTTTTGTTTACAAACATTACAAAGCCCAGTGAGAAGTTTCTGATTAAGATAATAATGCTAAAATTCAGCATTTTAATAAGTTTTTACAATAGTTTACAAGCTGGGACAACACAAGCGCATAGAAGCAAGATCTGTGTTTGATTGTATTAGTTTGAGACTGAATGCGCAGACACAGAAAAAATCTTCATCGAAAACGCAGCAAATAATATTTTTAAAAATTGTGCATCTTTATTACAGTAATTTGCACTCTAATCAAGTAGTAACAAAAGTTAAACGGTATAAAGATCATCTAAAAGTGGAGTGATATTGAAATTTAAAGTGAAAAGTGTCAAGTCAGTGTAAATTTGTGAAATCAATAATCTTGAAAAAAATTTCATAGTGAAAAAAAACGAAAAAGCTCATAAAGAAAGAAAATTAGAGAGCAAAGGAAAAGTCATTGAAGAAATTTCCATTTTAAAAAGATTATATAGTAGTTAACCGTCATTAGAATAAGTGCAATATAAATTGAAGTTATACATAAAAAAAATTAACAATGTTCTCTGGAATAACAAATCAAGTATCATCCCTATTCTCAAAGCATAGTGAAGAACATCCAGCAACAGCTCCTCAGTCAGTCGAAGAAGGACAACAACCACAAGAAACAGTTCCAGTTATAGAAAGTGTTGAGAACAACAATGTCGAAAATGTCAGTGGGGAGAAACAAAGGTAATTTTTTCAACTGTAAAATAAGATCCATTTCCATTTTTCCAACATCCATATTGGATGTGCTTTAAACCAATATATGTATGTTATGGAGTTTTCGTCAAAAGGAATGATGATTATTGACGAGAAAAAGTTCATCTTCATACCAAAATTAAGTGTATATCCCCAAAAGAATATAGATAGAAAAAGAGAGACATTGAGTGTAAAAGAAAAACCATGAATGTGCTTTTTCTTCGATAAATCAATAATTCTAGAAAAGGGATAGGATGTGTGTGGAGAAGAGTGGTGTGGATTGAATACAATATTGTTAAAATTACATGTCGTAAAAAAAGCATCCAAAAAGCAAAAAATAGAAATTGGAATTGAAAAAAGTAATAAACAAATGAAGATAGAGTGTCAATGCAATTCATTCATTTTTTCATCCTCCTCATACATACGTACAGAGTGCATGTATCAAGTGTACTTTACATCGCAATTTTTCTTTAATCGATTTTTTCCCTATTCCTTGCTGCGTGAATAGTCCAACTAAAGCATCAGGTGGAATGTTTTCAAATGTAACTGGTAAAGTTTCTGGCTGGTTACCATCATCACTTCCAACTGTCTCAATGCCATCAGTTTCAATGCCCACAATGCCAACTGTATCGATGCCTACGATGCCATCAATTCCTGGATTAAGAAAATCTCATCCAGCTGACGCTGAAACAACTGAATTAGCACCAGAACAGGCAGAAGAAGCTCAGCCGTCACAAATTGCAAATGAAAAGGATGATGATGATCGCTCAAGGTTCGTTGAAATTGTCTTTCACTTTATGAGTACTCTTAGTATATATTTTCCTTGGTGACAAAAAAGTATGTCTATGGTCTTTGTCTTTTAGCTTCGAGTCATAAACGTAATACATATTTTTTTCCTTCTTTTTTCTTCTTTTTCTTGTTTTATTTCTTTTTAAATGAATATTATCGTTTGACGTAAAATGACATAATATAAACATAAAAAAAATATGAATTATTTAACTTGCTTCACAACCTATTTTTTCATTGTAAAAATGATCCAAATAATATATCTAATATTATTATTACCAATATATATATAAATATATATATATATATATAAAACCATAACTGTATCAACTTGTTACACCACCATTTCTTCTACTACCCATTATCAGGGACGGGTAAGCTCCTTGTTATCTGTTTTCTTTTACTTTCTTTCCCATATTTTATTATCTCTCTCTCTATTTCTCTCACTTACTTTCTGTTATGCATAAAAATTTTAATACTTAGCTTTAAATTTCAACACTTTCTGGCAGTTTCTCATAAAATGCACTGTATGAAATATGGTGAAATCCTTTTTAAGACGCGTCGTGATCCATACTCTCTGCACAGTGCATTTTTATAGTTTCATAAGCACTTACATTATTTTTAACTTGTTTCTTAAAACTGGCGTTTATTGCGAATAGCTTTTAGATTTTTTTTTAAATTTTCCTTTATTAGACGTGCATGCTGGGTAGATTTTGTTTTCATACTTCATTTCTTTAAAAAAAAACGCTTAAAGAAATAATCGTAAATTTGTAACTCCAATTGCGAGATCTAAATAGCTTTAATTGTGATAAATTATTCATGTATCACGATAGACGTAAAAAACCCAGAGAAAGGTTTAACTTTTAGCCTTTCTGTGTCCCTTTTTAAAAACTTTTTCAGTATACTGACGAATAAGTTGAGTAAAAAGGAATTAAATTAATTCCTCAGTTTTTTGTTCAACTGCTGTCAGTTTCTGACATGTATTTTAAAAAATTATGCTAAGCATAAATTAAATTTCGCTCACTATTCACAAAACATTTTTTGCATGAATTTAATATTAGGAGGCATAATTTCGATCAAAATCTTTGTTATATCTTATAATTTGGTTTTCCTTTATTTTTTTCTTTTTTGCAATGTTAATTATGCAATTAGTTACAGAAGAGAGATAGTGCTGTATCATGTTAGTGAATATGAATCCTATTGCAAAATTAGTATGTGTAAATTGCCTCACATTCACCTTCTCTGATAATGGAATTTCATTTAAAACGAATGATATGGCCAATGCTTATCTCAAAACACACATTTTGACTTGATTTTGACTTACATATCTATATCTATATTAAAAATCTCATTACAAGCTCACAAAAAAAAATCTGTTTTCGTTTTATTTTTAGTAGATTTAAGGATGGAGCAATGACATTGATCTCCATAAAATGTCTTCTTAATCTCTTTTCTTTTTTCTTTTTTTTTGATGGAATGAAGCAAGCATTTCACCCATTTTAAGCCTCTTGTTCAGAAAACATTCCATTAAACATACCTCAATACCTTTTTATCACATGTGATGAATTCTAGCACTATTTCTATAAATATGAATATTAATGCTATAGATTGCACATTGTTTTTTTTTTTCTTCCATTATTATGTCATGATTTTTTAATAGCACAAGGCATAACTTATGTCCCTTAATGACTTTGTTCTCTTACACAATAAGCCAAATAAATCTTTATTCAATCTCTAAGAAAAATATCTTACAACAATAAATTGAGATCAAACTGTTTTAAATTTTTCTTGACAATCCCTTTCTATCTTTCAAACTTGCTGAAAGATGAGGATCAAAGAGCTAATCAAATTGGCAATCCATCAAAAATACTCCTCTTCTCAAATATTCAAGGAATCTTTCTTCTTAAAGCTTAAGCACATGCTTTACTCGTTAACATGAAAAAGAATATCCTGAATGTACTTTGATACCTTTATGTGGTACCAATAAAAATATCTGTTACTCTGTGGGTATGCTCACACAGGAAATATTATACTTGTTCAAAGGAAGACAAAATGCAAAAATTTATAACCAATTTCCTAAATTACAAACAGTTACCTTGTTCCTCAAAATAAAAACAATCATGTGTATTCCTTGTGCAAATTTTTAATTCTTCATTATTTTTATACATTTTATACAAATTTCTTACTTATGATAAAAAAAAAATCTTATTTAAACGTTATCAGATTTTTTTTACTCACTACTTACTTATTTCTTTCGCTTTAGATGAAATAAGGTTTACAGTTTTTTTTATTATTATGAAATCGTGCTTCTTTACCTCGCATATCGTGTATGTAAACTATTAAAATTTTCCTTGTATTTTGTAGTGCTACAGGTGGCGCTGATTCACGTCCAGTGTCTGAGAAAGGCTCTCCAACAGAAGAACAATCTGGTGCAGTTGAGAATGGTAAAGCTGGATATAAAAATTGATATTAATAGCATTCTCAGTATTAGGGATTTCAATTATTTGGGGTTCCGACTATTTTTACAAATAACAAAAACCCCAAATAGTAAAACACAAATATTTTTTCAAAGAAAACTTTTTAAATGCGAAAGTTTTCTTGGAAAATGAAACATATTTTCAACTTTAACTTGAATTTTATCAAAATTAACAATGCACATTTATCAAACTATAGTAAATTTTCTGAAAAATTTTGGTATTTGTATTTGAAAACCCTACTCAGTATATATTCCACTTTCTGTCCATGCATGCGTGTATATAAATTCTTTTGTTTCTTTATACACTCACTACTTGTGAATCATTCACGATAATAAATTCATTTCTACCTTTTTTCTTCTTTCTCTACTCAGTAACACATAAAGTAACTGCAGGAGCAAAATCATTTGGATCTTTCTTATCAGGTGTAGTCAATAAGGCTGGAGATAAAATTAAAGAAACCGTGAAGCATAATGTAAGATTAATTAGATATTGTATTAAAACAAATCAAATTCATATTATTCATCCTTTATAGCCTATACTTGGAGATTTTAATAAGGAGCAAGAAGCATTCATTAAAGATCAATCAGGAAAAAATACAGAAGCTGGAGTATGTCCATGGATCGGCCATAAAAATGAAGATAAAATTAAGGACGAAGTTTTTAGCTTATCAAGCGTACGTTTAAACTATTTCATTATTAATTGGAACAATATTATCAATTCAAAAATTTTTGTATTAAAAGGATCGCCGAAACTTTGTTAGAGCCCCGCCCGCAGGCAGTGACTTTGAGTTCAACTACGATACATCATACCCAACAGCAGTTGCACTGATGGCTGAGGATCCTTCTTTAGAAAAAATGCGTTTCGATCTCGTACCTAAAATGTAAGAATTTAATTTTATTTCTATTTAATCCGTTAAAATTATAATCCTTCATTTACGTAACTTTATAGAATCACAGAAGAAAATTTCTGGCGTAACTACTTCTACCGTGTTTCACTCATTGTTCAGGCTGGCGAATTAGGAACATTAGGAACAGACGATGCGTTTGGAAAGCGTGAAGATGATGATGACGGTAATGTCTAAATTTCTAACTTCAAAATTTTTTTGAGATTTGATATGATGTAGCTAGAAGAAAGAAGATGTTCCTTCTTAGTTGGATTGTTGGATGAAGGGGTCTTTTCACTTTTGTATCTTTATTTTATTTTATTATGAGTTGATTTATGATTTTCATTATTTTTTCGTTGATTTTATTATTTCTTTTTGATTTAGTTACTGGCAAAAAAAGCCTTAAAGAATCATCGAAAAAAGATTTGAATAATATAAAAGTGAAAAGTGAAATTACATCAGATAAAAATGAGACAAAGAATGAAAAAGATGTGAAAGATGTTCAAGAAAAACTAGGCATGAAGACTGATAATAATAAATCACCTCAAGCAGAAAAGACATCTGGCGGTAAGGATGTAACATAAAGCTCATTAATGACGAATCCACCACTTTTATTTTATTTTAATTTATATATAAAATCCGATTTTTAAGATTTGGGTCAGAGGTGAAGACGTTTTAATTTAGTTTTGGGATACTGATAAAAACGGTTTGTCGCTGCAAGGAACTTTTAATTGCGAACAGAAAAATTATGTCATCTTAAATTATTTTGATAAACGATATAAATTATTTATGAATCTATGAATAGAAGACTTATACGTTCAATATAATGTTATAATTATTCATTGTTGAAAACTTTGTAATTTTTTTACATCTGATTTTCTATGTTTTGTATTATTCGACACAAACATGAAGAGAAAGTTTGTCCTTTATTTTATGATTTTATCATATTTTAAATTATCATTTACGATAGATAAAGATGTATTTATGTGATCAATTATTGTTTCATTATAAGTTTCGTAGATGTAATAAGTTGACACAGAGAATGGTGCTATCGATTATTTTATTAAGATGAAGCTTTGAAGATGAGAAAAACTTAATATCTATAAAATAAGATCTTCGAATCATTATTACTACAATGAAACTTTGACCTTGCAATTAAAACATCTTATCCATTAATTATTTTTCTCACATAATTTCTCAAATCGTCTCTTTCTTCTTTCTTTTCTTCTTTTTCTTTTCTTTTAATTTCATGCCGATCGATCGCTTTTCATGAACCTGATGAACATATTTGAAAAAAATATACAATTTTCTCCTAATTGTTATTATTACTGTTCTTTTTACTTGACTAAATACGCGAAAACGTGTACTTGATAATTACATCAGCTTAAGTGTCATAAGAAATAATATCCATATACTTAATAAACATATATATAAGAAATAAATCTAGCAAAATAATTACAATAAGAACTATAAACTACGCGTCATCGATAAACGATAAAAAAGTGTCTGCTAAAAAAATTCACAAAAAAGAAATATTAGAAAATTAAAAATATTATAATATTATACAAAATAACTCAATTTTATCAGAAAATGCGATGATTTAAACAATGAAAAATAAGAAAAAAGAGTTTTCACACAAAAGGTTAAATTATTTACAAAATATTAACAAAAAAACATGTAATGAGATTAAACTGAAACACATAATCTGTGTCTGATAAGAATGACTACCCACGTACATTTGTTTATATATTATAGAGAAACAAGCAGAAAAATAAGATACAAACACATCAACAATTTAAGTAAGGAAAAGTAATTTTGAAAGAGACACAGGAGAAATCTTATAAAATTTTCCATTATATACGCATATTAAATTAGGGAATCAGAGGGCAGAGCGAAGAGAAAAAAACGTTAAATTAGATCAAAACTTTAAGGAAAAACAGATCTACCCGCGTCAAAGCAAAAAACCAATTTGTGTATTTAGATAATTTACTAAATCCTATCATTTATTTTTCCATCGTCTCCTCAAACTGAATTTTTCGTTCACATCAACATCAACAATTTTCCTTCTGTTTTCCTCAACACATGCATACTAAACAAAAGCAAACGAAATATACAAAGAATATGTATAAATGAGAATGCTGATTGTGGGCGATGCAAATTTATCCGTGCCTGTGAAAATTCATTATCTTCAGTCACACATTATCATACTATATTGTTGCAATACATACAAACCTTAAAATAAGAAATGTTTCTTGAGAAAAAAATAAAAATAAAAACACTAGCAGAGTGTTGTTGGGTAAGCAGGATTGACATAAATTATTCCGTACTTACTTACGATTATTGTGTATTATTACTGTTGTTATTATTATCATCAGAACAGGAAAAACTTTTTTGATTTAAATAATCGTTGAGGAAATTGAGGAACAGAAAGAAAAGCTCTCAAAACCTAATCATACTTATAAAGCTCTTATTCTCTATATTTATAACGTCTTTTCGTGTTCAAAAGTGAATATTCAATGAAAAATTTATGAATTTGTTGTCTTCTAAATATTATATACATTAAACTCGTATTTTTTTCACATATATATAAATTTACCATATTTATAATGAACTATACAGACTATAAATAATGTTATGCCCATAAAAAGGATAAACAATGAAGAGTAAATGGAAAACTTGTTGAAACCAATATGAGTTTTTAAATTCTTTCACAATTAATAATTCATCACTATATTATCACTAAACAGGATCAAATATCCTTCCAATTATGTTCAAAGTAATTTCATAACACCTACATATGGACATGAATTCAACAATATATTCCACATCTCGCATTCACGATTTGAACTTCTCCGTGGATAGACAGCAATTAATACGTTTTGTGTCATGTGAGTCGAAGGAAATTGCAGTGATACAAAAATTAAAGCAACAATACTCAAAGATTGATATCATAGCATAGTTTATGCATATTCACTGAGAATTTTTATTCCTTTTTGCATACATTAATCCTTAACAAGAAAAAAAATCATGAAATTATTATTATTATTAACGATTAAGGAAAAATGTACCTATTTATAAAATATATACATTCTAACATTACATTTCAAATGACAATGCTATTAGGCTATTGTGAAATTTTCTCAAAAATTCCGTTCTTAATTAATTAATTGATAAAAGATAAATTTGAATGAGGAAATATATGTGTGGCAAAATCGTAAAATTTCAAATTTAAAAAAATTCAAAGAGATAAATTTATAAAAAAAGGATATTAAGTTGTTCATTCTGTTTAAAAAAGAGAAGATAACCAGTAAAAGTTTAATAAGAGAATTAAAGAACAAGTATTTAAAATAATATTAATAAAGAAAGTGAAATGTTATTCATTAAAATATATTCATTTCTACAACTTCCAATTAAGCATAACCAGCTTTTACGATGAGGCATTGAACTCTACTTGACGACAATTAATTTATCATAAATAAAAAAAAAGTCTCCGCCAACCTAAAGAACGTTCACAAAAAATTTGATTCAATTTGATTTTAATAATGATGAATCGCTTTAGCATAATGAATGAAAAGTAAAAGAATTTCTCACGGTCAGTTTTTAAGTTAATGAGCAGGCATTATTCATAATTTTCATCAAGAGAATCAACATAACAAAAATTTGATTATCAATTAATCCAATTTATCTAATTTTCTATTAACCTATATAAAGCTTCTTAACTTTGGCTCCAACACATCTCCATCATTACATCCAAATATCCATGTCTTTGGAATAATGTAAGGAAACAGTATAAAGTTGAAAATGATATATTATTATCACTTAATGATGAAAAATAGATATACAAAAAAATGAAAAAAAAAAAATTATTGAGTAAATCGTGATATAGAAAATAGCAATAAAGAAGTATTTGATTATATTTTGCGGCAAAATGTTGTTTCTTTATGTTTGCAAAAAAAAAAAAAAAAATATATGAAAAAGTTACAAAACATCGGATGTTCATCATTATTATAGTTTTTAATTTATGAATTAACAAGAAAAGAGGATCTGAGAATATAAATGATAACGCCAATACATGTGTACGAAGATGCGAAGATGATTTGTTGAAATTTATGAATGTTAAAATGTAGAAATATTTATAATGTGATTTAATATTATTTCGCAATTGATATGATTAATGATAGCTTTTTAATGTTTTACTCATCTTGTGTTTAAAAGAATCCAGACACAAAGCTTCCCTCTATCCCAGTGGTGATCTTTAAACTTTTTTTGCTCGCAGCACTTTTCAAGTCAACAAAACTTCCAGGTGAATTTTGGAATTTAATTTTTGAAGTTTTCTTTAATATTTGAGAACTAAGAACAAGCTTAGGTGTAAAAGAAAAAAGGAGAGATTTGTTGATAATTTTTGTTCAGTAAAACCTTTTTGATTTATCGGCACATATTTTATTACACTTGTGAGTCACGCAAATCTGTTTGGGAACCACTGTTCTATACTAAAATCATTACCCTATTTCATAAAATGGTATTTTAATTGCATAATCATAATTGATCATTTTAGCATTAAATATGAAAATAAAGCATATTCATTTAATTTCATATGATTGTCAAACACATATAAGTTCCTGTATTTTTTGACAAAACATTTTCAGGTTTATTTTGATTCAAATTAAAAAAAAACATATGAAATTAAATGTAAATGCTAAAACTTATTATAAAAAGAGGAAAAAAGTATTTAGGGAGAAACTTAAAAAGTATAATTTTTAGATAAAAAATAATTAAAATATAATAATAAAATAACAATGATATGAAATCAGTATTTACATTAATAGAGCGATTAAATGAGTTTTAAACTCAAATATATTAAATTTCTCTTTTATTCGGTCAGTCTTTATACACCCACATTCCCACCAATACTTATGTGCATTTCTTTTTTTGATATATGGGAAAATAAATGATTGATACGTCCACGTTAGACGAGATAAGAAGTGAATCTTAAAAAGCTTCTAGATGTAAAGCTTTGATCTTATACATATTTGTGAATGTCAAGCGAAGGGATTAGTAAACAGAAACATATTGAAAATGGAATTAATAGTATAAATAGTTAATGAATTAATTAATTGTATATGTACCTTTAATCCATTAAATTATTCGATCTATTATTGCTTTCAATGGAATTTTCTGCTGAGGTGCTGACAACATAAAATTTCTTTTCATGTGGTTCCTTCATTTTTCTTCTTCACAATCAGCCTAACGTCGAAAATTGCATCACTGTAACATCGAGTTAGTGGATTAGAAATTATGAAGAGGCTTCATGAAAGAAAAATAGCCTAAATTTTTTTAATTGGGTATATTTTGGTTCTTCCTTAGCTCAATAAATTTTAATCATTTTTGTTAAGCTTCTCATACGCCTATGTATGTAATGTTAAAAAGTTTCCCATATAAAACATGAAATGAAACATTAATAATGCATGTATGTTTATGTATGTATGTTGTCAGTTCAGTGAAGGATTTTAAGCGAGATAACATACTCTTTCTGAAATAAAAGACAGAAATCTTTATTGTATATAAAAAGAAAATTATACAAGCCATAAAAAAATGAAGGATAAAAAAATTATAATAATGGATTGATGAAAGCTCTCTTTACGGACCCATAATTAGATACAAAAGGAATTTTAAAAGAACAAAAATTTCAATGAAAAAGATATTAACATAATTTTTTTTTAAAGTCTTTGATTATGTGGAGAATGAATGAACTTCAATTGTAATTTTTTTGTTGAATCAGGATAATCTCAAGGTAACATTTCCACAGTATTATTGTATATCTTAATTTCGGCATTTCTCTGTAATTGTAATTATGTTTCATTCATTCTTCTCGTCAAATATTTTGTATGACTTTCATAAACATGATTAGCGAGGAATTTTTTGGAGTAAGATATACTGTGAAGGAAGTATTTAAATAATTATAATTATTATTTTGAGAAAAGATGTATTAGGGAACGAAGGAAAGAATGAAAGAACTAATCATTTAGTTTAGTATGAAAGTGAATTATTATAATTTAGACAAAAGGAAAATTTAATGGATAAGAAAGCATTAATAACTTTATTATAGTATTTACACGCTGTATTAATTCAAGAAGAAAACAATTATTATAAGAGGAGATATAAAATTAACTAAAGTGAAATCAAAAAAATATAAAATTTTAAAATTTAAAATGAAATTTTCTTTTTATAAGTTTAGCACGTTTCCAATTTTATCATTCTAAAATTCCTTAAGGCAAGAAAATTAATGCTATTTTTCAACAAAAATTCGATGTTCCAGTTTGAAGTCAAATTTATTCCTTAATTAGGCAAGAAAAAGAAAAGAAAAGCAAATTCTCAGGCGAAAGAGAATCTTCTTCATGATTTATGTAGCTTCACGCTACTATGTTTGATGATGAAAAGAAATGAAAATATCAAAAAGCGAGGAAGTAATAAATATATACGGTTGAGAATATAAAATCTATTGTTTTATCCATAAGAATAAATTAACAACGAGGCGAAGGAAGTTTCTTTTTCATTTCGCAAAAAATCAGTTGATTATTTTTGTCGTTCTTGTCTGATTTTTTTCCTTCATAAATAAATATCAAAACACATTCAACATTAAAAAAAAATTCAAAAATGTGAAGAGGAAAAAAGGTAACAAAAATAATATAGAGATATACACAATATATATCTATCCTAAAAGTTCTGTCCTATTGCAATGAAACATTTATAATTTTTGATTGTCTGTTTAAACTGTTGTTTATAACATATAAAAAGGATGGAAAAAAATGAAGTGAACATAAAAAAATTGACATTAACATAAATGACACATTATAACAAAAAAAAAGAAAAGAGATTGAGAGATTTGCTCGTCACTGGACATGATGCAGAAGAATCTCTGACGAAAAACATTGAAATAAAGAAAAACAAAAATTATAGAGCAAAAATGAAGGAGCTTCATGATGTTATGATTGTTGCTATCTGAATGCATAATAATGTTTGTGTTATTCGAATGATTAGCGATCGGCTGTCATGACATTTAATAAAATCCATTTATTTTTTTTTCTTGTTCGCGAATTGAGAATTGAAAGTTCAGGCAGCAACATAAATAATGTAATTTTCTTATTTGCAGCAAAACTTAAAATAGACTTGTGTGCTTGTTTTTCAGATGAAGAGGAATGGGAGAAGAACTTGGCTGCTGAAGATTTTGAAGTTGTTGACGACCAGAATGTTGATGAGTCGGAACTTGACATGGATCTTAAATAAGATGTATATTTGGAATGCAGGCAATAATTTACTTAACATTCCAAAAACATAAAAATTGTTTTCATCAATTGTATTTAAATAAACTACTATTATATTACTGGCTAAACCTCAAGCATTTTATCTAGTGTTACTCCAGTGCAAATAATATAAAGAAGGCAATTTAAAAATAAAATGACTATCCAAAATTTAATTATAACATTACTCATAAGGAAATAAATGTCTACTCATTACAAAATTCTCTTTTACTTTAATTTATTTACGTCTGAAATATTAATCATAGTTTAACATAACTTTAAATATATGCAAAATAGTTTTGCTTTCGTTTACAGCACACGATAGTGATAAAAATTCATTAATGTAATATTTAAATTCCATCCTATAATGATTGTTATTAAGTAGAAAAGGAAAAATATTGGAACTACCACTAATATGAGTCTCGTCCTCGACTTCTTAAGATATGGAATACCTACAAGAAATATATAATCCTAATCAATTTTTTTTTCAGACATTGAGTTATAAAAAAAAAATGCAGTCTTAATTTGGATGACTCACTCACGACCTCTATTATTTTAATACATATACTTACTATTATATCCAAGAAACGAAATGTACGAATAGTATCCTATCGCTAATAACCATAAAGTATTGCCCAAAACCCTGGCAATAAACCACTCTTGACTAAAAAGCACTTTGTAAAAAATAAGCATAACAAAGTGTAGGATAATTAAAGGAGGGAATTGAGCATTAATGTGGACGTCGAAAGAGTATCCCCATTCAACGTTTTCCGAAGATCCATCTCGCATGAACTTATTTGAAAACATCCACAAGATTGATGCTGAAATGAGCGATGCTAGCAGAAAATCCACAAAGACAACGTACAGGATGAAGTATAGCGTTTGGAAAATTCCTAAATGAAATATAAATGTAAATCCGAAAGATGTGACTGAAAGAGAGTATTGAAGTATGAGCTATCTTAAATTCCAATTTAATCTTTAATTTTATTAATACTTACAGCATAAACTAGCAAGAAGAAGAACTAAGAATGCTGGATCATCTCTTGCAAATTGCGCCTTTGTCTCTTTTCTGTATCCAAAATTTCTAAAAACTTTTTGAGGAGCAACGAATAAATACAGCATTTGCCATAATGCAAACTCAAAATCCATTTGTTTAAATTTAATTAATCGACGCAGATATTTCTGTGTTTTTGATGTTGCTGAAGTGCACATATTTGATGTCACAGGTCTCGGTAAATTCCTTCCTGATCGATAAGAGTATGCGGATAATATTGAGCCACTTTCGCTTGGTGTTGGCGACTGGTTGTTCCTCATAATTTCTCTCTTTATCACTTGATTTTCCTTAATTTACCCTTTTCTTACAACTTTTTATTGCTGACGACCGATTGTAAACAATCAGTTTCGATTTTCTGTCAGTGGCGTATGATCTTATTTTTTTTTTGTGGAATTTGATTCCAATAGTATTCAATAAAGTTCAAAAACTCCTTAAAAAGATTAAAATGTTTTAGAATTTTAAGGAATTTAAATTAAGAAAATTAATGTTAAAGTTTTGTGAGTAAAATTGTTTTAAAAAGAATTGAAATCTGTACCGGTGAGTTAAATTTTAAATTTTGGATATTCCAATATAGCTGAAAATTGTGCAATTTTTCAAGCAGTGCTTTTTGTTCTCATTTATTTCAGTGAACAGTGAATTAAACAATAAACTAGTCGCAGATTTTTTTTGAGGTATTATTAAACTTCAGAGATAAGAACAATAGTATTGAAAAGTCTCATTTAAGAGGAAGTGACTATTTTTCAATTTTTTACTTAAAAAGGAAATCTTTATTGAAGATCAAAAAAAAGTCAGCAGAGCACTTATTAATTATTAATCGCAAGAACTAAAGACATAAATACCTCAAACATTACAAAAATATTATTGTATTCGATCAACAAATCGGTAGTGCTGCATTTAGTGTCTGAAAATGAGTTATTCGAATAGTAAGTAGTCGAGAAAATATTACAAGTGAAGCTTGAAGAAAATTAAAGCCGGAAAATGAAAATTTTCACATGGTTTTTCATTCTACGACTTTCTTTTTAATTTTTTCGAGTAAAATATTTGTCATTGCAGGATATTATTCTGTTTTATAAATCATATAATATTCTTATCAGTGAATTGTTTCATCCACACCCTAAAAATTGCATTAATCTTTTTTTTTTCACACAGACTTCGTGTAATGTTTTTCGTTCTTTCTTTCTTGATTAAAATCACTGAATGGAACCAATGATTTCAATTCTTTATATTCCCCTTTTTTAACGTTTCATTACAGAATTTATTTATGCTTGCTTACCCCGAACAAATCGTGGCCAACCAATTGTTTTAGGTGGTGATCCAAAAGGAAAAAACTTTTTATATTGTAATGGAAATTCTGTGATCATTCGCAACATCGATGCAAGTTTTAGATGATTTTTTTTTTTAACGAAAAGTGTCATCATTTCATTATGCTTCATCTTCTATTTTTAGAATCCAGCTATATCAGATGTCTATACTGAGCATTCTTGTGCCGTTAATGTCGCTAAATATTCACCTTCTGGTTTTTACATTGCATCTGGTGACTCATCGGGCAAAGTACGCATTTGGGATACCGTTAATAAGGAACACTTATTGAAAAATGAATTTCAACCAATCGCGGGTCCAATTAAAGATATTGCATGGTCTGCTGATAGTCAGAGAATTGTTGTTGTAGGAGAAGGTCGTGAACGATTTGGTCATGTTTTTATGGCTGAAACAGGAACATCAGTTGGAGAAATTTCCGGACAATCAAAACCAATTAATAGTTGTGACTTTCGTCCTGCAAGACCCTTTCGAATTGTTACAGGTAGTGAAGATAATACTATTGGTATATTTGAAGGCCCACCATTCAAATTTAAGAAGACAAAACAAGAGCATACACGATTTGTTCAAGCTGTAAGATATTCCAATGATGGTAAATACTTTGCTTCTGGTGGATTTGACGGTAAAGTTTTCCTTTATGATGGAAACACATCGGATTTAATTGCCGAAATCGGTTCTCCTGCACACAAAGGTGGAGTTTATGGTGTAGCTTGGAAACCAGATGGAACTCAATTACTAACAGCATCAGGAGATAAGACTTGTAAACTTTGGGATGTTGAAACGAAGGAATTAGTTGCTGAATTTGTAATGGGGAATACTGTTGATGATCAACAAGTATCATGTTTATGGCAAGGTGAACATTTACTCTCTGTCTCATTATCTGGATTCATCACTTATTTAGATCCAGAAAATCCATTGAAACCTTTACGTATTCTTAAGGGACATAATAAACCAATCACTGCCGCAACTTTAAGTGATGATCATAGCATTATTTATACAGCATCTCATGACGGTGCTGTTACAAATTGGAATTCTGGTAACGGATTAAATGATCGAGTCGGAGGAATTGGACACGGTAATCAAGTTAATTCTATAAGATCACACGGTGATTTCGTTTATACATGCGGAATTGATGACTCATTGAAGCAAATTAATTTGGAAGGAAATTCATATACAGGTGTAGATTTAAAACTGCCCTGTCAACCACGCGGTATGGATGTTTTAAAAGAACAAAATATAATTGTTGTTGGATGCGTTAAAGAAATCATTGTGGCGCAAGAGAATCGCAAAGTTTCATCACTGCTAATAAATTATGAAGCATCATGTGTATCGATTAACAGTGACACCCGTGAAGTTGCTGTTGGCGGAGATGATAATAAGATTCATATTTATACATTAAATGATACTCAACTGGAACTAAAATTGGAACTGGAACATCTCGGCGTAATCACCGACTGTGCTTACTCACCAAATAATAAATATCTTGTTGCATGTGACAGTAACAGAAAGGTTGTTTTGTATTCAGTCGAAGAGTATAAGGTATGATTATAATTAGCGACTTATATAATGAGCAAATAAACAATGTATTATTTACAGCCTGCACATAACAAAGAATGGGGTTTTCATAATGCGAGAGTCAATAAAGTAACATGGTCTCCTAATTCAACATTAATTGCTAGTGGGTCGTTAGATACTACCATCATCATCTGGTCTTTAGCTAGTCCAGCAAAACATACTATAATTAAAAGTAAGTCATATGCTAATTACAAATAACTATTGAATTTAATTATTTATTATTCACTTACAGATGCTCATCCACAATCGCAAATCACTGGTCTCGTGTGGTTAGACCACGAAACTGTCATTTCGACTGGACAGGATTGCAATGTAAAAGTCTGGGAAGTTGAAAGCTTCTAAAACTAATTTCATAGTTCTTTTTTTACAATTTTATGTGTCTACCCGTTTCTATATACTTTATACTTTAATTTATTGTATCATGAATTTTAATTCTTTCCTAATATAATTTCATTGTCCTTGTTTTTTTTTTGATAATTTTATCAAGCACTAAGGCCAACCTTTTTCAAGTATTAATTGTAATCTGAAACTTTAAATAATTCTATTAATCACTTTTAATTTGTCTAAACAGAAATATAACTGTATTAAATTTTTGAGCCCACCTTCCCTTATCACGTTAGTTTTAACATAATACTAAATATGAAGTATTTCCTGAAAGAATTAAAAGCAAATCAAAGAAAAGGTTCTAATGTCATTTAATTCAAAATTCGTTTTTTATAAGCATACATATATTCAAAAGCATATATTTTATGTAAATCATTTTTTGTAAAATTAAAAATTAAATGAAATAAAAAAAAATCCAATAAAATTTTAAAATTTATGCTATCAAAATTGTAATTTGTTCTATTTTTATTCACATAAATTTTTGTGTTCTTTGAACATGTTTTTATTACTAACGAAAAAAAAAAAACAATTTTTGGAAAGTCAATTATGTCTGTTTTTAGCAGCTTTGCATAAAATATAATATATTATAATTGATCGATTTTTAAAAGGGGTAAGATAAGATAAGTAGGTAAAAAAGCAGAGATCGAAGCCGATTTTTTCGGCTTAACTCAATTTTTGATTTTTTTGATAGAAAAAAGCCATTTAACACCCATTTTAAGTATTTAAATTGAACTTTACATGCTTTACTATGATTCTGTGAAATATTTTTTCAGCATGTAGCTATAGTAAGCTCTGAATTTCAATTTAGCCGATTTTAAGCCGATCGGCTTAAATTTCGGCTTAACATTCTTTAACTTGAAATTCTGAGCTCACTATAGCTACATGCTGAAAAAATATTTCACAGAATCATAGTAAAGCATGTAAAGTTCAATTTAAATACTTAAAATGGGTGTTAAATGGCTTTTTTCTATCAAAAAAATCAAAAATTGAGTTAAGCCGAAAAAATCGGCTTCGATCTCTGTAAAAAAGTGAAAGACAGTTACAACATATGATGTATGAGTTTTGAATTCTAATAAATCACTATTGGATTCGTTCATTGATTAGCAAGACTCCCGCAGATTATAATCTTTTAAAAACAAAGATTATAAACTTTGTATGGGATTATTTATAAGATTATGATCTGGCTGATTATGTTTGCATTGAAAGGAAGTTAAGGTCGTTTGAATTATTGTGACAGCTCCAACAGAAAAAATTGATTTTATATGAAATTTGTGAAAAGTTGAGGATCTGCAAAAGATAATAGTAAAGAGCTACATGCTGAAATTCGAACCTAGAATAATTTCACAATCGATTTGATTACATATTAGCTGAAAAGTTGACATGATTGGCTTTCATTCAAAATTATGATAGGTACATATAATTAATAGCCCTAAAAGAGAAATGAAAATCAATTGACTAGGTTGCAATAAAATCAAACAATCTCAAATTAAATAAAATTAAAATATGAAAAGAAGACAATAAGTAATAATAATAAAGATAACTTTCAATTCCTAAATATTCTTGACATACAAACTGTTTAGAAACAAGTAAAAGTAAAACTCTTAATGCTAAAAAAATTATTAAACTAAGTTTTGTGTGCACGTGTCTTTTAAATGTACATAGACATGAGATGATTATCGTCTGAATAATGATCAACTCATGCTTTAATTGTTTTTCAGGTATAAAAAGTAATTGAGGACGTATTTCACTGATTAAGGATTAATTTGTATTTATACAAAAGTTTGTTTTATGAATGAAAATCAAAGCAAAGTTTTCATGATTGTCTTTTTCTTAATTAAGTTATGACAAGAATTATGCATGTGTGTATGATTCTTTAATAAGGACAAACGCTCTGATTATATTCAGTTTTTGATTTAATTTCTATCACAGCTAAGGGTATAGAGATAAATAAGAATTAAGTTAAATTAGAGGAATCAATTTCATGTTGATAATTTTGCATAATCCACTCACACATGACCTTGATTCCATAAAACGACAACAAAGAAACTCTTAGCATCTAGATTCATGTCTTATTATAATCTTTGATTTAAGGAGAAAAAAAAACTTATCGAAAAGCATGAATTATTGATATTTAAATTTTAAAATAATTGTTGTATAAAGATTTGTCTTTTCCGTAAGATTTTCAATCTTTTTTCTTTTTTGGTATTTCCAATGTCTTTAAATCTTTAAAGATGTACTATAAATTAAGGATTTACACGAATAAAAAGTATCAGTAATTAAATAAGTATAAGAATTGAAAGTTTGAGCCTCTTTCGTGTGAAAAAGCTTCTATTAATTAGTCATTATTGATTTCCACTAGTCATCTGCTCATCTCCATTATTATTAATTTCATTTTTAATTAAAGATTGCGTTGTCATTGGTGATCCCTGTTGTTGTGACTGCTGATGATATAATGAAGGAATTGTCATTTCACTTGTAAACGATTGCAGAAGTGCCAACTGATTTGCAGCATTTGCATTACTTGTGTCTAAATTAAGAGGAAGATTTGACGATGTCGATTGATTTCCAGAATTTGATGTATTTTGTTGGGAAAATAGCAGATTGTTTGCTGCTATTTGGTCTTTTATCATTTGCTGTGCTTGAATTTGTTGAATTTGACTAGCAAGTTTTGTACGCTTTCGACGATTTTCACTTTCGCAGGGTGATGGTGTTCCTGGATGACGATAACTTATGTGCTTTCTTAAAGCATCTTTCGACCGTGAAACATGAGAGCATACCGTGCATGCATACCTAAATAAATGTAAAGAGCATATTTAAAAAAATTCTAAAGATATCCAAAACTCAACTCACCTCATATTTTGATGAGTTTCAAGATGGACCCTTAAATTGTATTGATTTGAGAGTAATTTAGAGCAAATGAAGCACTTTGCAAAGAGTTTTGAGTTGGGAATTTTTGTAGGTGTTGTGCCAGCGTTGTTTGATAAATTTCCTTGTGTTGATGTCTTTTTATTGCCGTTTTCATTATTCGGAGAATTATAATTTAGCAAATTTTCCATAGTTGGTTTTTGTATATTTTTCTCGTTCAGAAATTGCGCTGCAAGAGCATTTGGTAAAAGAGGATAATTTGGAGTGGGTGTTGATTCTTTTTTGACAGTCATCTGATTAAAATGCTCCAAAAAACTTTTCGTTGAGCTCGGTGAACTAGAGCTTGGTGGTGATGTTGAAGAATTCGTTGCGAAACGTAAATTTTCAGCAATTCGATCAATCTTTTTCAAGTTTGTAGGTTTCATGCGCTTCTCTTGAAGCATTTTCTCTTTCTTATAAAGATCGTCAACAAAGTTTCTTGCTTCTTGTTGAATATTTGAACTTTTATTAAATTGTGGTGATTGTGATGTTGGAATTGAAGGTACTAATGGCGATTGTGGTAACATTGATGGAAATGGAAGTCGATTTGATGAAAAATTTAATGGTTGTGACAGTAGTGGATGTGTATAGAAATTGAATTGTGGATGAGGTCGTGAGAAGAATGCATCAAAATTTGAGGGTGGTGTTAGTATTTTAGGAGTTAATTGAGAGGTATCAAACGGTGATGTAGATGATTGTTGAGTCTTTGGTGTTTCAGATCGTGATTGATGCTTATCAGAATCATTTTCACTTGGTGATCTGGCCGCAGAAACTTGTTGATTGTCTACGTTCTGTGACTTGCGATTTTTAATTCCATTCTGAAAAAAAAGAAATAAATAAATAACAAATTAATGAACATATTATTTACTCCATGTCAATTTTGAAGGAAAAAAGTTAATTTAAACATCACACGCACCATATGTTCGTTGTTAATCTCCGTCAATCCTTTTATTCCCAACGTTTCAGCAAGTTCCAACAACTTTGAAATTTGATCTTCATACACATTTACTTCGCCATTATACATAAATGTGATTAATGCTACGAGAGATGCAAAATTTGTGTGCGGGGGGAGAACAATGACAGGATGACATAATTGCTGTTGAATTCCAGATTCTAACGTGTGAAATAGCTCCGAAAAAAATGTACTACAACCACTAAGCACTAAACGATGTGCTTTGATTTTTCTTCCATCTGCTACAATTGTGCAATCACTTAGATGTGATTGATCCAGTAACTGTGGCAATGTGCTAAGCAAGGACGTCTATTGTAGTATAAGAGAAAATAAAAATACATCAATTAAGAAAATAAGAAAGAAATTAGAAAAAGAGATTGAAGATTAAAGTGAATTTTACAATGAAAAATTTCAACGGATTTTATTTTTATCTTTAAAAAATTGTGGAATTTAAGTTGAATAGAAAAATTTCTAATTTTATCATCGAAAATGATCACTTTTAGATTGCCGAAATTAAATTAAATGAATGATACACAGTTGAAAATAAAAGCGAACAAAACAGATTCTTTTTGTGTTTTTCTTTTGGATAAGTCATAAAATTTTTTTATTATGGCCATTTCTTAAATCCCACTCCAGAAAATTTCTTCCAAAGAAATAAAGGGAAAAAAAATTCCTCAAGTGTAGCTCTTGTAATTTGATCATAAAATAAAAAATACTTTTTGCTAAGATAATTTCAGCTCGATGCCAAAAATAATTTCTTTCCGTTGTTTTGGACTTTTTTTTTCTCCTTGTAATAATGTGTGTTGTTTGGCGGTGTCAATTTTTATTTTTTCTTTCTTTCTTGCTCATATTATCGAGAAAGAAGAAACTGAAAGATCTGTTATATTATGTATGCTGCTTGAATGGAAATTCAGTAAGTCAAAAAATTCTTTTTTAACAATTATATATATATTTCAAAATGCCTCAAAAATATGATCTTAGTCTCATAAAACTTGTCTGATGTTTTCTGCGACTTGGTATAGATTCAAAATAATATCGGGAATTGCGCTTTAATATTACAGCATAGTCCAGAGCGTAGTAAGAAAATTTTGACGTGGGGATTTTTAAGTTTTTGAATGAGTAAAATCGAGGGATTTATCACTCTAATCTTCCATGGCTACGTGCCTGTCATAGTCATATTATGTTTTCTTTGAAGAATTGCAATTTATAGATGTCATTTTTTTAAAGCCACAAAATTATTGATCCTTCAAGTGTATTTAATTTATCATGTTAAAGCTTTTACAAAAAAAATCTTAAAAATCGTTTAAAAACTTGATACAAAAATCTAGAAATGCACATAGATAGTTATTTAAAGGATAAAAGGGACATTCACATCGAGAGATAAAACTTCTCAATTTGAATTTAAATAATAAACATTAAGAATCTCGTGAGTTTGAAAGGAATTTTGAGTATTTTGCTCGACTATCAACAACACATTTATTTCTCTCGGCTGTATTGTATGTCTCTCACTATCTTACTATTCTATTATGATCGCGACAAATGTGTAATGCATGTAAATGTAATATTACCAGATGTGAAAGTATTTGCAAAATTGCAACGGACGATGAAATTAAATGATACATATAGTGCAGACTCGGAAAATCCATAAATTTTCTTTAGCGTGACATTTTCACGACGGCATGAAGTGCCGAGATGAAAAGCAGCAGCAACTTTTCATTTCTCTCTCTCACTCTCTCTTCTCATTTTTCTATTTTGCATAAATAATTTCCATGTCACTATGAAATTACTTTCACATATAATTGCATTTAAAATAATTCATCTTTGCAAAAATATAATAGTAATTACTATATAAATAGAGAACTTATTATGTCTGTACGAGAGAAGAAAATTCAAGTTTCATCATAACTTTTCTTTCTGTATGACGACGATGATTGTACGCGTAGTAAAATAAAGAAATTCAAAAAAGAAGAGGAAAGATAAATTAAATTATTCGTGTGCCTGAATCGAGAAAAAAAAATTATTTTTTGATCGTCATGCGAGAGCGAGAAAATGAAAATTGTGTCCTCAACAATTCGACGATAAATAACAAACAATGGGACATTCAGAAATAGAGAGAAAGACAGAAAAACTAATTTAATTATTTTTCTTTTATTTTTGGAAAAAAGTCAAGTCGCGTTCTCACGATCGGATAGATGAGACACACTAGTTTTTCACCGCTGCTCATTTCAAATGTGTCAGGCTGTATTATCACTTTGACTGACTGAGTCACATTTTTAACGATTTATTATTTTATTTTAATTTTTATTTTGATGTTTTGCCTCGTGACATGTTTTAGAGTTATTTTGATAATGTAAAGGACTTATTAATGGCATTATTTTACCCATAACTGATGATCTTTTGCCTCACTGATTACTACTTTTGCGTTATCATCATAGTTTATAATAAAAAGTCTGTCAAACTCAATTAACTTTTGGAGCAACTTTAAACTTCATTAAAACCTCCTTTTTATTTAAAAAGAAAATGTCATTTTTGGAAAAATCCAGCCTTACCAAACAAATATTAAAGCTATAAAGTCAATGACAATAGAAGTCAAAATTCATGCTTTGATAATTGGAAAATTGTATAATTTTTTACAAAAAATTTCACTTTAGACAAATTTTTAGAAAGCGCTTACATTTCATGTAAGGAGAAATGAATAAGACGATAGTTGTTTGCTGCTCTTCATTTCAAGGAAAACTTTTCAGTAGCGGTAAGAAATTCTGTAACAAGCATCGAATGAGCAAAAATCAAGAAAGAAAAAAATTCTTCGTAATCGGGGTCGGAATGAATGCAATTTGAAGCCGCGCGAAAAAAAAACCTTTCAGAAAATGAAATAAATTCGAGATGAATTTGATTTTGCGATTCGATGTGCTGGCAAATTGACCCAATTGATTGATTAAATTGTCGATGATTGATGATCAAAAAAGGAAATCAACACTCACCTGATGATTGTTCCAACGAAGACAAAACTGTTGACCATCATTCTTAGATCCATTTAACTCAACAGATGTATCCATTTGATTTTGACGGTCAATGATTGGCGATCCTTCATGTGAACTTAAATTTTTATTCGATAGTTCTGAATCGATGATATTATTATTATTATTGAAAATTGATTGAGTCCTTATATCCTCACAATTAGCACTCAAAGTTTCCATATTAGAAAATCACTAACTGCTCAATATTCCACTATTCCGTTAACTGTCGTCTAGAAGGTAGATTTTTTTTTATTTTATTATTATGCTGCTGAATAGCTTTTGCCAGCCACCCGAAAGCCACGAGAAAAGTTTAGGTTCTAATTTTAAATTTTAAAATTACACCGTGAGCGACTCTCCTCCACTTTTCCAACTATTATTTTTCTCCGCAAGACAATTTTTTTTTAATTTTATTTTCCGTTTCTGCACTCGCGATATTCGACAATTGTTTTATTTTTTAAGAAAATAATTTAATTTATTTCTTTCTGCTTTCCTTTCTTTATTTTTGTTTTTTCTTTGCGTCTTATTTTTAATATCACAAATAATGTGAGATGTTCCTCTTGAGGAAGAAAAAAAAAACTTGCCAATTGATCCCGTTCACTTCTCCAGACACACTGATCACACACCGATCTAGCAGCATTGATGTCTCTTTCCGCTTATTTATTTATTTTCTTTCTTTCTTTTTTCCTTATTCTCCGTCCGATTGTGAAAATGAAAAATTACATAACGACACCTCACACTACACACCACTAAATCTCACACGATGGAAAATTTCAAAGTTGAAAACTTTTTTTTTACTGGGATGGAAATTTGTGGGACTGCCGTTTATTATACTTTTCTTTCTTTTCTTGTATTTTCTTCTTCACCCAGTCCCGCCAAATGAGATGAGATAAAATAAAGCAATAAGATTTTTATTTTCTGTAAATGATCTTTACTTTTCCATCAACATCATCGTGTTATGCATCTCCCGAAACGATCAACACAGTCTCGCGAATGATGAGGGAAAGAAATAATAATTAAATTAATCCAGGAGATGAAAATTTGTTTGTGATTTTTCCCACTTAATTAATTAATTGGATGGTCGCGTATCTGCCACTTAGACATCATCTTACACGAAAACTAATTAGACGTAAACTGAAAAGGTTGTGTGATGGTTTGCTCTATGCGCTCTAATGTTTATTTTTTCGCCAAAATAAAAATGTGAGAGAATGAGCGACACTGAGACAAATAGATCAGACGAAGACAATTCGACTTTTGCTTGCCTACTGTCTTCAAATGTCCACAATGTTTCCTTTATTTCATGAGAACATTTTTGAGAAATTCTCAGAGACGATTTGATGATCGTTTTGCTACTTTGCAGTTCCTTTTCCCTCTTTTTAGCAAAAGTAATTGAAAGAGTTGAAGAAAAATGAGAAAAATTGGAAAATCGAGAGCGCGACATAACAATAGGATGAAAAATATTAATCAACAGTGAGGATTTTGAATATGTGTCCATCAAGTAGAACGGTGACCTAACAAATTGAGTGATGGACGATATATGGGTTTTTGTGCTATTTTGTGAAAGCAGAAAAATAACTTTTTTAAGTTTTGTGAAGTTGCCAGTTCTGAGATATGAGCATCTGAAAACGGAGCTAGTGCCGATTTTTTACTTTTAACACTTTCGACTGTAAATCTGACAAGGCTTAACGAAAATTGTTCAAACTTGGTCAGTAATTTGTGCAAATGCTTCTTAATCAAATAAAATAAACGAACTATTTTTATCTAGCCTTACTGCGATAATATGGGGATTCTATCGAAAAAATAAGTTAATTTTGCACTAGGTCCTGTCGTAGAATCATCACATTTTTTCAAACTTTTCAAATTTTTCAAACTTTTCAAGTTTTTCAAACTTTTCAAATTTTTCAAACTTTTCAAATTTTTCAAGTTTTTCAAACTTTTCAAACTTTTCAAACTTTTCAAGTTTTTCAAACTTTTCAAACTTTTCAAATTTTTCAAGTTTTTCAAACTTTTCAAGTTTTTCAAGTTTTTCTAACTTTTCAAGTTTTTCAAGTTTTTCAAGTTTTTCAAGTTTTTCAAGTTTTTCAAGTTTTTCAAGTTTTTCAAGTTTTTCAAGTTTTTCAAGTTTTTCAAATTTTTCAAGTTTTTCAAGTTTTTCAAGTTTTTCAAGTTTTTCAAGTTTTTCAAGTTTTTCAAGTTTTTCAAGTTTTTCAAGTTTTTCAAGTTTTTCAAGTTTTTCAAGTTTTTCAAGTTTTTCAAGTTTTTCAAGTTTTTCAAGTTTTTCAAGTTTTTCAAGTTTTTCAAGTTTTTCAAGTTTTTCAAGTTTTTCAAGTTTTTCAAGTTTTTCAAGTTTTTCAAGTTTTTCAAGTTTTTCAAGTTTTTCAAGTTTTTCAAGTTTTTCAAGTTTTTCAAGTTTTTCAAGTTTTTCAAGTTTTTCAAGTTTTTCAAGTTTTTCAAGTTTTTCAAGTTTTTCAAGTTTTTCAAGTTTTTCAAGTTTTTCAAGTTTTTCAAGTTTTTCAAGTTTTTCAAGTTTTTCAAGTTTTTCAAGTTTTTCAAGTTTTTCAAGTTTTTCAAGTTTTTCAAGTTTTTCAAACTTTTCAAGTTTTTCAAGTTTTTCTAACTTTTCAAGTTTTTCAAACTTTTCAAATTTTTCAAACTTTTCAAATTTTTCAAACTTTTCAAATTTTTCAAGTTTTTCAAACTTTTCAAGTTTTTCAAGTTTTTCAAGTTTTTCAAGTTTTTCAAGTTTTTCAAGTTTTTCAAGTTTTTCAAGTTTTTCAAGTTTTTCAAGTTTTTCAAGTTTTTCAAGTTTTTCAAGTTTTTCAAGTTTTTCAAGTTTTTCAAGTTTTTCAAGTTTTTCAAGTTTTTCAAGTTTTTCAAGTTTTTCAAGTTTTTCAAGTTTTTCAAGTTTTTCAAGTTTTTCAAGTTTTTCAAGTTTTTCAAGTTTTTCAAGTTTTTCAAGTTTTTCAAGTTTTTCAAGTTTTTCAAGTTTTTCAAGTTTTTCAAGTTTTTCAAGTTTTTCAAGTTTTTCAAGTTTTTCAAGTTTTTCAAGTTTTTCAAGTTTTTCAAGTTTTTCAAGTTTTTCAAGTTTTTCAAGTTTTTCAAGTTTTTCAAGTTTTTCAAGTTTTTCAAGTTTTTCAAGTTTTTCAAGTTTTTCAAGTTTTTCAAGTTTTTCAAGTTTTTCAAGTTTTTCAAGTTTTTCAAGTTTTTCAAGTTTTTCAAGTTTTTCAAGTTTTTCAAGTTTTTCAAGTTTTTCAAGTTTTTCAAGTTTTTCAAGTTTTTCAAGTTTTTCAAGTTTTTCAAGTTTTTCAAGTTTTTCAAGTTTTTCAAGTTTTTCAAGTTTTTCAAGTTTTTCAAGTTTTTCAAGTTTTTCAAGTTTTTCAAGTTTTTCAAGTTTTTCAAGTTTTTCAAGTTTTTCAAGTTTTTCAAGTTTTTCAAGTTTTTCAAGTTTTTCAAGTTTTTCAAGTTTTTCAAGTTTTTCAAGTTTTTCAAGTTTTTCAAGTTTTTCAAGTTTTTCAAGTTTTTCAAGTTTTTCAAGTTTTTCAAGTTTTTCAAGTTTTTCAAGTTTTTCAAGTTTTTCAAACTTTTCAAGTTTTTCTAACTTTTCAAGTTTTTCAAGTTTTTCTAACTTTTCAAGTTTTTCAAACTTTTCAAATTTTTCAAACTTTTCAAACTTTTCAAATTTTTCAAACTTTTCAAGTTTTTCAAACTTTTCAAGTTTTTCAAACTTTTCAAACTTTTCAAATTTTTCAAACTTTTCAAATTTTTCAAGTTTTTCACATCTTTTCAAACTTTTCAAACTTTTCAAATTTTTCAAACTTTTCAAGTTTTTAAATTTTTCAAGTTTTTCACATCTTTTCAAACTTTTCAAATTTTTCAAATTATTCAAACTTTTCAAAGTTTTCAAATTTTTCAAGTTTTTCAAACTTTTCAAACTTTTCAAACTTTTCAAGTTTTTTAAACTTTTCAAACTTTTCAAGTTTTTCAAGTTTTTCAAGTTTTTCAAGTTTTTCAAGTTTTTCAAACTTTTCAAGTTTTTCAAATTTTTCAAGTTTTTCAAACTTTTCAAGTTTTTCAAGTTTTTCAAGTTTTTCAAGTTTTTCAAGTTTTTCAAGTTTTTCAAGTTTTTCAAGTTTTTCAAGTTTTTCAAGTTTTTCAAGTTTTTTAAGTTTTTCAAGTTTTTCAAGTTTTTCAAATTTTTCAAACTTTTCAAATTTTTCAAACTTTTCAAACTTTTCAAACTTTTCAAACTTTTCAAACTTTTCAAATTTTTCAAACTTTTCAAATTTTTCAAGTTTTTCAAACTTTTCAAACTTTTCAAACTTTTCAAGTTTTTCAAGTTTTTCAAGTTTTTCAAGTTTTTCAAGTTTTTCAAGTTTTTCAAGTTTTTCAAGTTTTTCAAGTTTTTCAAGTTTTTCAAGTTTTTCAAGTTTTTCAAGTTTTTCAAGTTTTTCAAGTTTTTCAAGTTTTTCAAGTTTTTCAAGTTTTTCAAGTTTTTCAAGTTTTTCAAGTTTTTCAAGTTTTTCAAGTTTTTCAAGTTTTTCAAGTTTTTCAAGTTTTTCAAGTTTTTCAAGTTTTTCAAGTTTTTCAAGTTTTTCAAGTTTTTCAAGTTTTTCAAGTTTTTCAAGTTTTTCAAGTTTTTCAAGTTTTTCAAGTTTTTCAAGTTTTTCAAGTTTTTCAAGTTTTTCAAGTTTTTCAAGTTTTTCAAGTTTTTCAAGTTTTTCAAGTTTTTCAAGTTTTTCAAGTTTTTCAAGTTTTTCAAGTTTTTCAAGTTTTTCAAGTTTTTCAAGTTTTTCAAACTTTTCAAGTTTTTCTAACTTTTCAAGTTTTTCAAGTTTTTCTAACTTTTCAAGTTTTTCAAACTTTTCAAATTTTTCAAACTTTTCAAACTTTTCAAATTTTTCAAACTTTTCAAGTTTTTCAAACTTTTCAAGTTTTTCAAACTTTTCAAACTTTTCAAATTTTTCAAACTTTTCAAATTTTTCAAGTTTTTCACATCTTTTCAAACTTTTCAAACTTTTCAAATTTTTCAAACTTTTCAAGTTTTTAAATTTTTCAAGTTTTTCACATCTTTTCAAACTTTTCAAATTTTTCAAATTATTCAAACTTTTCAAAGTTTTCAAATTTTTCAAGTTTTTCAAACTTTTCAAACTTTTCAAACTTTTCAAGTTTTTTAAACTTTTCAAACTTTTCAAATTTTTCAAGTTTTTCAAGTTTTTCAAGTTTTTCAAGTTTTTCAAGTTTTTCAAACTTTTCAAGTTTTTCAAATTTTTCAAGTTTTTCAAACTTTTCAAGTTTTTCAAGTTTTTCAAGTTTTTCAAGTTTTTCAAGTTTTTCAAGTTTTTCAAGTTTTTCAAGTTTTTCAAGTTTTTCAAGTTTTTTAAGTTTTTCAAGTTTTTCAAGTTTTTCAAATTTTTCAAACTTTTCAAATTTTTCAAACTTTTCAAACTTTTCAAACTTTTCAAACTTTTCAAACTTTTCAAATTTTTCAAACTTTTCAAATTTTTCAAGTTTTTCAAACTTTTCAAACTTTTCAAACTTTTCAAGTTTTTCAAGTTTTTCAAGTTTTTCAAGTGCTTCAAACTTTTCAAATTTTTCAAGTTTTTCAAATTTTTATGTTCATACCGTTTTCACGTGTGAATCTATTGGTTTTGTTCAGATTGAAAAATCAGTTTTTCGCATTTTGTGAGAAAACAAAGCAAAATTGGTTATAAAAGCGCAAGAAGAAAAGTTTGTGCCTGAAATTTTACATCATTTTCAAAAAACAGATTTCAAATTGGTTGTGGCATTGCTGAGAAAATCGCAAAATACGCTTTCTGTAAGCAAACAAGCAAGCAAGCAAGCAAGCAAGTTAATCAGCAAGAAATCTCAATAACGAGACATCGTAGAGACTTCTAGTTTTTTACATTTGATCCGTGCTGCTCTATAGAAGAGCTGTATTGTTTTTGGGCAAGGTAGGAACAGCCGTTGCTTCAGAAATGGCAAAAAACTTTCCTTTCTTACGAATTTTTTAAAACAAAAGTTGACTGTGATTTTTATAAAATTCAACTTTGGATGAAAATTTTTTTTAAAAAACTTTTAAAGAATATTTGGCATATTCGTCAAGCTTTATACCTTCAAACTGATGCTGAGCGTAGCTCAGCTGACTCGATAGCTTTATATCTTCAAACTTATGCTGAGCGTAGCTCAGCTGACACTCTAGCTTTATATCTTCAAACTTATGCTGAGCGTAGCTCAGCTTACGCGATAGCTTTATAACTTCAAACTTATGCTGAGCGAAGCTCAGCTGCCTCTCTAGCTTCATATCTTCAGACTTATGCTGAGCGTAGCTCAGCTTACGCGATAGCTTAATAACTTCAAACTTATGCTGAGCGAAGCTCAGCTGCCTCTCTAGCTTCATATTTTCAAACTTATGCTGAGCGTAGCTCAGCTGACACTCTAGCTTTATATCTTCAAACTTATGCTGAGCGTAGCTCAGCTTACGCGATAGCTTTATAACTTCAAACTTATGCTGAGCGAAGCTCAGCTGCCTCTCTAGCTTCATATCTTCAAACTTATGCTGAGCGTAGCTCAGCTGACTCGATAGCTTTATATCTTCAAACTTATGCTGAGCGTAGCTCAGCTTACGCGATAGCTTTATAACTTCAACTTATGCTGAGCGAAGCTCCACTGCCTCTCTAGCTTCATATCTTTAAACTTATGCTGAGCGTAGCTCAGCTTACGCGATAGCTTTATAACTTCAAACTTATGCTGAGCGAAGCTTAGTTGACTTATCAAGCTTCATACCTTCATACTTATGATGGGCAAATCTTGGTCTATCCATAAGACTTATGATAGTACGGTGTGAATATAATCCGCATTGGGTTTCTACCCGATACACTAGTTCAAGTTTTTCAAACTTTTCAAGTTTTTCAAGTTTTTCAAATTTTTCAAGTTTTTCAAACTTTTCAAGTTTTTCAAACTTTTCAAATTTTTCAAATTTTTCAAGTTTTTCAAAATTTTCAAATTTTTCAAATTTTTCAAACTTTTCAAGTTTTTCAAATTTTTCTTTTTTGAATTTTTTTTTATTTTCGCAGTAAGGCTAGATAAAAATATTTCGTTTATTTTATTTGATTAAGAAGCATTTGCACAAATTACTGACCAAGTTTGAACAATTTTCGTTAAGCCTTGTCAGATTTACAGTCGAAAGTGTTAAAAGTAAAAAATCGGCCCTAGCTCCGTTTTCAGATGCTCATATCTCAGAACTGGCAACTTCACAAAATTTAAAAAAGTTATTTTTCTGCTTTCACAAAATAGCACAAAAAACCCATATATCTTCCATCACTCAATTCGTTAGGTCACCGTTCTACTTGATGGACACTTTGAATATTCGTCACAAACGAAGACAGAACTAACGAAAGGAAACGTAACAATGCTGATTTATTTTTTAAGCAAGCAATGGGCGCATTTGCTAATGCTTGCAAAGTATATTCGGTAACATTTTTTTCATACTTTGGATATACATCATTCCAATAACTAAGGAGGAGTGGAGTGTGACATTTCATTGTAAATTGTTTTACAGTGATAGAAAATAGTTTGAAATTCTGCAGTCATTGCAAGTTCCTTTTCAGTTTCTAATCTTTAAAATCTTTTTAGAAAATGAAATCGGTTAACAAAAACGATCCCCCCCCCCCCCCCTTGTTTAAAATTAAGTAAACTGTAGACCCCATGTTTGTCCAAATCTTTCATTTAAATGTTTTGTTAGGGATTAAAATGTTCAGCATTCGAAAACAGATCATTGATAAGCTTACCAAAGTACTTCTTTGGACATTACGTTCAAAAATAAAGAAATCTACTGAGCACACCTAATTAATTAGAAAAAAAGAAAGAAAAAAGAGAGGAAAAAACTTGAAGATCCATTTAAATTGATGAGACATTTCTGTGGCATTTCTATTTCTATATGCAGAACTGTACCAATTTAACTCTTCTTACTTTTTTCTAGCTTCTCATAGTTTTTCTTTCACTCTAAATTGAAAAAGAAATTAAAAATTCCTCATTGCACCGCGAGGATTTTCATGATGATTTATGATGAAATGTCGCATTTGCTATTAATGTATGTCACATATCCCCCAATTCATATCTGCTTTAAGCTGATGGCTCTAAAGACCTCGAACAAGACAATTGAGTTTATTTTTAAATCCATCTTTCTTTACAGTCTCATGTCGTTCTTTTTTGATTACGAATGGACTTTTCGGCTTGATTGTCGTGGAGAAAGATAGAGGAAGAAAAATACGCATCGTGTCACTTATGTACTTCACGTATGTATTCTGATCATTCCAAGCATTTTACTTTTTGTAGATAATTGGTCCATTGTCTTTTCTTTTTTTCACGAACACGACGCAACAAATTATTTTCATTCTCTTGCTATGTGAATGTGTAACAAATAACAAGAAATGAAAACACAAATATCCAGAAAGATATTTTCACTTGATGAATGCTTGAGATGAAAATACATTTATTTTTCCTTTACTCAGCACATCCCAGGGCAGAAAATAATATCCAAAAATCTAAAAACTATTTTTGGTCGCAAAAGCATGTTTCAAATATTTTGTCTTTACTCATCTTCATTTGCTATTTACCGTGCATTTACTACTGGGGCAAATGAATTGTGGTTTCGGGACATAAAACCATAAACAACTAGAATTCAAAAAAAAAAATGTAATGCATGCAAACTTGTAAAAGAAAATAAACTTAAATTCATTCTCTGATTATTTAATTTTCAAGAAGCATATGAGACTCAATTTTTATCTTGTCGGAGCGTAGAATTTCGCGCCACTACTAGTTATTAATTCTTGCGGTATATTCTCGTCATACATTTTTCATATGATCATTTGTGATTGATTGCTCCATTAGTGATGTTCATGTTGGATAGTTCACAAAGGTATTCTCATGATTCCTGGGATTACTTAAAAGCGTTTATTCCGTTTACATAACATTCGCTGATGCCCCGTCATAAAATGAGGAAAATTAAGCAAGCAAGAAAAATGTAGAAGGAGAAAAAAATATAAATAAAAGAAAATGAGTTATGTCTGGCTGGAACAAAATATGTCTGTAATGTGAAAATAAAATTTTTTTTCTTTATGTCTCTCTAATGCCGTGTGTGTAATTTTTTATTTTCGCTTCTAAGCCAGTTAAAAATAACAAAACTTTGACATATATGAGGCACATGTTTTTATCCATCTACCTCCAATTCATTATTAGATTCACTTTTATCCAGCAATTTTTTAAAGATGGCATTTGAAGGTAAGTGTATTAATTTTTTTTGGCAATTGATGATAACATTTTATTTGTCTTTGAGCATAGGCAAAGAGCACATAAGTTCATAGAGAAAAATAATATTTCTTTGCACAATGCGGTGAGGGAAAGGGGAATTTTTTTTTAACCAAAAATCATTATTTGTGAAGTATATAATTTTTAAAACTGTGGATTAGAAGGAATATTAAATTTTAGAAATCCTGCTGCTGTCGAGATTCAAACCCATGACCGATGAAAGCTAGAAGAAACCAATACGCTAACCTCTCCTCCATTGGAACACTTTAGGGGTCATTCACTTATGACGTCCGTCAAAAAACATGATTATATAAGAACCCACGTGCTGCTTCGCGATTAGTCTCTTATATACATAGTCAAGATAGTTTTTGCGATTTCTCGTCAGTCGTCACTGTATTTTCAGGCACAAACTTTTGACTATCAGTACTTTAGGTTGATTCCGTAAGCCTGAAGCAATAAGTTAACAAAAACAGTATATTCACAAAAATTTAAAATTTTTGTGTGAATTTGGCACTCATTATGATCATACTCTGAGGACAGAACTCCTTCAGTTAATTAATAAAGAATACAAATTTTAGGATCCCGTAATGGGCCCCGTTAAGTACGAAAACAAAAATCAAAACGGTTTATTTCTGTCAAAACCCACCATAAAATTAAATAAATTCATGATGCAATCAATACTCTGCAGTGTTATTCTCATGCAATTTTCATAAAGTTTCCATTGAAATCAAGGCTCCCGCAGATTTATAATCTTTAAATAATCCCATACAAAGATTATAATCTTCGTTTTTAAAAATCAAGGCTCCCGCAGATTTATAATCTTTAAATAATCCCATACAAAGATTATAATCTTCGTTTTTAAAAGATTATAATCTGTGAGAGCCTTGAATGCAATTTACAAACACAAACTAAGAAAAGTTAATTTTCTAATACGCACTCAGCATTTAAGAGAAATATAGTATACAAAAGGTCGGAAATTGAAAATTTATTCAGTGAATGTGGAATTACTAAGGCGCTATTTATTCAACAGTTTGCGTGTTGTCCAATTATTTGTATTGGGTCATACATACGGTTGTGAGATTCTGTTTAGCATGGTTGCGATTTCCTGATCAAAGGATAGCTATGTGTTAGTGTATAAAGGATCTTAACCCATTCTTAATTGACATTATTCAGGAACTGTTAACAGACTACAAGTTTGAAAACTTAAGGATCAAGTCCACATAAATAAAACTGAACTAGATTTCTCTAAAAGACAGTCATTATATCAGACACTATAGCACGCTTACCGTTCACAAATGAGCTAAAAGAGAGAAGTCTCGAAAATTTATGATGTACTAAACTCTGTTTAACGACATAAAAATTAGACACTGGGAAATGCTAGAAAGTTTTGTTCTTTCATCATAGTCTTCCGTCTTCTAGGAAAAGAAGACAATATTTATTCCCATCAGCACGTTGACGCAATTTGAAATGAAAAGAAATAATGTTCATCTGCCTCCATTCAATATTTAAATCCATGAATTTGAACAAATGAAAATCACATGTGTCAGATTTACTGTCGAAAATTGCGTGTTTTGCTATTTTTATTGATCGTCCATGCTTAACAGCTCAACAGACATGAGTTAATTTATGGGAACAGATGAACTCCAGGTTTATAGCTTTTCAACTCTTTTGATCGCGTGGAAACATTTTTCTTCTGAATTTTCTTTTCTCATTCTTATTTCTGATTTTTTTTCCTTCATTTCATTTCATTTGTTTTTATTTTTACGAGAGCATTTATAGGGAAGAGAAGAAAATCATGATCGCTTTTCCCGGGTCATTTATGAATGTTTTTCAAAATTTTGACATTACATGTATGATGAATCGTGGCAGAGAATGTTTGTAGGCTAAAGATTTAACATTAAACAATCCATAAATTAATAATTATGAGATTTATGTTGTTACTTAATATATCTTGTATGATTTATTGACGTCGTATTAAGGACAATGGCAGTGTGACTTGATGTAGCAAATATTTAGAAAACAGTCTTTTATTTTAAGCATTTCTTTCTGGAGCTTAATGACAAAAAGAATGAAATATTTTTAGAATCGCTTTTTTATTTGCCTTCTAATTTTTCTCCCTTCATCTTGCTCCTCTTCACGGCTTCATTCCAATTCGTCTAAATCACACGAACAATTCCGAATTGTAATCTACCTAGATTTGCAATTAAAGACCTTAATATATCGTAAACGTTTAAAAATAATTTTTGTTTTTCATTTCTTTCTTTTCACGACAAAAGAATTTTCGATAAGTGGCGTGAAAATGTGCAATTTTGATGCACTGATATAATTCACAATCGAGTCATTCCAATAAATTTATTAATGTTTGTTTAAAAACATTTTTGGATGACACTTGTCTGATGCATTTGTTAAGGATCATTTATATTTGAAAGTATGAAATTAAACGCATGCAAATCATGATTATTAATCTTAAAATTAAATTATATTCCTCTCTCATATTATGTATTTTGTACCAAACACGTGGTTGATTTTAAAGAGAAACGACATTTTATTAACTGACATACGTTTGAAATTTGTTTTTAAAGCGTCGCTTTACAGTGCTTTTTACACAAATTTTCATATTCGTTGGTTGCAAAATTCAAAAGATTTTTATTTTTAATAATTTATTAATTAAAAGCTGTTTAATCGAGTGAAATAGAAGAGATAATTATTTTTAAGCATCCGGAAAACTTGAGCATAATCAAGAATTAATCAAAAAGCATAAGTTTGCGCATAAAAATTTCAAGGTTTGTTTTAGCTGAAAATTTACCTCGTTTATCAATTTCATTAATGTTTTGATTCCTAAAACATTTTCAGAATTTCTTTAGGATCGAAATTTTAACAATAATCAGCTCGTATAGGTGAGTAGAAATATATTTGACTAATGTAACATTTCTGCTTCCATGAATTACTCTTGCTTTATTTTTCTGCTTTTTCATGTTTTTATTTGTTATTTTTATTTTCGGTTTTTGCTTTTTGAAACTAATAGTGTAATGGGAAGATGTTGAATGGATGATGAAGAGAGAGTGTTTAAATTTATGTATCTGAGGCACGCACAAATATCTAATCAAAATCGATAAGTAGTAAATAGAATCATAGAAACATAAAACATGAGTGACAAGCAACACAACGAACACAGAAAAAAAGAGGACGAAGATAACGACATTTCAATTCAGGACACTTCTTATAAGTATGAGGAATTAAATTATGATGATCTTGAGCAATCATTAGATTTGCCTGAATTTGAATTTTCATCTCCTATTTCCTCGATCTCATCAAATTGTTCCTCGCCTGAACGGACAGTTCAACAAGAACACTATCAAAATGACATAGTAATGGATGATTCCGACGACTTTGTATCTCTTGAAGAGCTTAAATCACAAATCTCACTGCCAAATGATGATGAATTGTGTACGCCCAATTCAGCTACTCTAGTTCGAAAAAGTATGCTTGAGACAATATATGAAGACGTTTATTTAGAAACACCGCCAGGAACACTTTCCTCATCTGGACATAAAAACCGTAAACGTCGACTTGTTCGAACTGACTTAAGTAAATGTGATGAATTTAAAGAAAATGTACAAATGAACTCATAACATTAACACTCATTTCAATTAATATTAAAGCTGCCATTTTTCTCTTTTAAAATTATAATTTATAATTAGAAAATCATGATTTAACTAATGACAAAAGATATGCCTGGAATGTGTATCAAAAACAAAGAACAAATATTGGCATTTATTAGATTTATATGAATAAATTTTTATTAACTTGTTAATATTATTAACATATTTTTTTATCGAAACCTAAATTGGAATACATTTCTGTAGATAAATAGTTTTAAGCTCCCATAAAGAAGTCTCAGGTACATAAATCCTTGCATCGTTCTCTTTTTATGCTTCAAGAGAATGAGATTGAACTGTTTAAAAATAGATATTTTTTTTGTATGTTTCTCGTGTGTTTAATTCAAATAGTATGTATGTGCGTGTAAATGAGAAAAAATTTCACATCTTTTCACGTTTTTCATTCTACTCACAAATTTTCCTTGTCTTTATTTTATTTTGAGGTATATTGATCAAATATTTGGATATAGAACTAGACAAAAAAAAAAATAATAAAAATTTTTTGTTCATTTAGATTTAACTGCAAAGCTTTTGTCAGCATGGAAGGACCTTCAGCGAAATCAAATGTGACGGCAACAAATGAAAAAGTTGTTAAGAAAAATCGGGAAGAAAAATTAATGGAACAGAAAATTGAGTCAGAAATTGTTAAAAAAGTTCTTAATGGCATTGATGATCCGCTACAAAAGAACCAAATCCTTTTAAAACGCTGTGTCGAAAGTGAGCGTCAGTTAAAAGTTTTACTCCAACAACAGAAGCAAAATCAGAAAACTCTTCAGGATTTTATCCTTGAAAAAGACAACATGAGTGCTGAACTTACTCGTGTCGTTAATACAAAATCTAAATTAGAGAGCTTATGTCGTGAACTACAACATCAAAATAAGACTATTAAAGTAAGTAATATGATGACTTGCCTGCCTATTATTTATAACCTTAACTCGATATCTTTGCAGGATGATAGTTTATCAAAAATTCGTGAGGAAGAAGAGCATCGTAAAGCAACTCAAGCAAAATTTCAGGAGTCACTGTCAGAGATCCAAAAGCTCATGAATGAAAATTCGGACAAAAATAAAAAGTTAGAACATGATAATCAAGAAATGAGTCATAAGTTTAAACACATTTTAACTCAGTATGAGGAGCGTGAGAAGCAAATGGATAGAATCAATAAACAGATGGAACTTGTGACACAGCTTAATGAAGCAAAACTCGCAAAAGCAAGTGTTGAGGCACTGGCTGAACGAGAGACATTCTTGAAGCAAGTCAATATTTTAGAAGAGACTATAAATTTATTAAAGAAACAGTTGGCAGAGTCTTTAAATTCTGAAAAGAACTTAAGAGCTCAAGTAGACCTTTATAGTTCGAAATATAGTGATTTTTCAAAAACGTTTGATGGATATAAAACGGACATGACCAAGATGACGAAGAAGACTTATAAAATGGAAAAAGAAATGTTGCAGTGGAAGATTAAGTACGAAAAAGCAAATGCGATGTTGTTGGATTTGATAAGTGAGAAGCAAGTTAGGGATGAGCACATCACAAAAACTGCAAAACAATTGTTCCATTTACAGAAATTATGTAGAACATTGTCAGCAGAAAAGAAAACATATTACAATAAATTAGTTGAGTCTAGCATCGAAATACCAGAAGTAAAGGATATTCCAAAAGAGGAAGTTCCCCAAGACTTGCCACAAGAATTGAGCATGGATAAAGGCCCTGATAAGTTGGATGAGATGATTAAGAGTCGTGATGAATTGAAGAAAAATTTAGAGCAGTTGCAAGGACAGCTTTCAAACATAGCCTTATCATCAAATCAGACACCAGAACCGACAAAAAAATCAAAGTCTAAGAAATCGAAGAAAAACTCTAAATTATTTAATGACAATGAAGCAACTCCTCAATTGCCTGAACCTGAGAATTGTGAATTAGAAGAAAACAAATGCAATCCAGAGCATAGCAACGGAACTATAACCGAAAATAATGAGGTTACTGCTCAAAGTGATGCCTAATAGCTTGAACCAACAATCACTTCCATCTCTTTTTAATTAAAAACTGAATCAAATTTTGACTAGAATAAATTTATAAGCATGAATGATTGTTATCTATTCTAGTCTGCTTATGTCACTGATTTTCAAACTGTGAGTTAACATTTTAGGGCAGGATCGAACACTCTTATGGTTTTTTTTTTTTTTTTTTGGTGTTATGTGTACCTAAAAGTTTGAGAGTCAGTGACTAAAACAGTCAAATGTAAATTTTATCACTTAATTTTTTTTAAATAAAAAATTTGACACAATATAACAACAATAATAGTTTGCATTTGAAAAACTTCTCTTTTTATTCATTCCTAAACCTTTGAAGAATCACTTCACGAATCTATCTAATCTTTCAATGTTGTAAAAAAAATCGTGTTCTGCAAAATTATTTACATTTGACAATATTGAAGATTGAAATGGCTATCAAAGATATTTTTTTACCACATAGTACTAAGTGGAAGTGGATCCCACAAAAATTATGATTTAAAAAAAAAATACGAAGCAAGTTATTTGGATAAAAAAAAATACACTTAAAGATTTTGAATACATGATAATGTTTTTGAGATCCACTTATTTTATATTTTGCAACATTTTTGTAAACTTAAGCGAGCTATTAACCTTGGCTGAATTAATACTAAAAATTTGTGCATAAGAAATGGATTTAGTAATAGCACGAAATTATCAGCTGAAAATTTAATCAATTTACTGATTAGGTCAACAAAAATGCGCGTTAGTCGATTCCGACTCTTGATATTCTCTTACAAAAAATTTAATAATTTGCACAAAATCACTTAATAAACTTCCGAAAAATCAGTTCCAAATATTGTTTTTTTTTTTAATTCTTCTTATGAGATTCCTTTTCGTTCTCGATACTTGAAATTGTTTCCTTTTTTGTCTGTTCTGTATGTATCCTAGTTAATTCGTATCCTTTGATTTCAAAAGATTTATTTATTGAGTAACTCATGTATTGTGTTTATGCTTCCTCCTGGCTATATTCTTCTCTTTCTTTCTTTTTTTTTGGAATAAATTATTACTGGATTATTTTTTTAAGGTATTATTAGTAGTTTTGAAGTGAAGTGCAGCGAGTTAAAAATAGTACAATTCTCAACTACTATTCCCTTGTCGCTTTCTTTGCAAGTATTCGACGAAATCATCAAGTAATACTGGCCAAGCTCCGTCAATGCTGTAGTTGCTTAAGTCTGTATTGATTGTCCGACTGAATTCAAAGATATTATTCCACTGATCTTTGTTGATTACTCGCGGTGCCTTTGGTTGTTGCTCGAGGAATTCTGCGAATTCAGGAAATAACGGCCATGATTTACACAATAATAGTGACAGCATTGCTTTAGCTGTTTCAATATCCATTGAACGTTGATCTTTATCCTAAAAAATAAATGTGTAGGAAAGGCAAAATAAATTCGTTTAAGATAAAATTGTTCTACGAGATATTTTTAGATAATTTGGTCATATTACTCACCCTTGCAAAATCATAAGCATATCTAAATATCATTTTAAACGATTGCGGATCATCTATGAGGTTGTAAAAGTAATCGAGTTTGTTTTTTAGCTTGGTAGGTGTATCACATAAAACCTCTGGATCTGAAAGGCCTTTCAAGAACTCAGTTTGGGTAAAATATCCCATGTTTTTTGCATTCATCTTATAAGCTATAACAAGCATTACAATGTCTTCAGGCTCAACTTTAATATCTTGACAAAACCTCTCCATTCCTTCGGGTTCCAGTTGTGATGGATCATCTGTAGTGTATTGCTTGAACCAAGCAATCAAGCGATTTGTATTAAATCGGGATTCTTCTTGTGAATGCTTTGATCTAGAAGCTGTTTTTTGTCTTTTTGTAGTCTCAATCTCTTCGGATGGATTAGTTGCTGTACGTTTTTTTGGCCGAGGCATTTTAATACTCCTTTTTTGTAGACAATTTTTATTGATTTCTGAAAATTGCGAGGAAAAAAAATGGTAAAATTTTCAATGTCATTGTCTCATGTGATTTTCACATACTTCAGGTAGCTTCTTCCCTCTTAATTATATATCAATCTCTTATTAAGCTCTAATACAACAAATTTACAGATCAATGAACATCCAAATATGCTTTAAACTTATTAAAAATTTCAAATTTTCTTCTTTAAATATCTCGACGTAACACTCCGATAAATCGACAACAATTATTTTGAACGTTATTCAGAGGTTCTACTGCACAACTGCGATTTTTTTGAATTTTTTAAACTTAAAAAACTTTAACGGTTTTTTATATTCACACCGTTGTCACGTGTGAATCTATTGGTTTTGCTCAGATTGAAAAATCAGTTTTTCGCATTTTGTGAGAAAACGGAGTAAAATTGGTTATAAAAGGTACGAGAAAAAAAGTTTGTGCCTGAAATTTTACATCATTTTCAAAACACAGATTTCAAATTGGTTGCGGCATTGCTAAGAAAATCGCAAAATACGCTTTCTGTAAGCAAGCAAGCAAGCAAACAAGCAAGCAAGCAAGCATGCAAGTTAATCAGCAAGAAATTTTAATAACGAGACATCGTAGAGACTTCTAGTTTTTTACATTTGATCCGTGTTGCTCTATAAAAGAGCTGTATTTTTTTTGGTCAAGGTAGGAACAGCCGTTGCTTCAGAAAAAGCAAAAAACGTTCCTTTTTTACGAATTTTTCAAAACAAAAGTTCACTGTGATTTTTATAATATATAGTATACGAATGTTTGGGAAGCTAGCTTTATATCTCCTGCTTTCTTCATACTTATGATGGGCAAATCTTGGTCTATCCATAAGACTTTTGATGGTACGGTGTGAATATAATCCGCATTGGGTTTTTACCCGATACACTAGTTGGATAACAGAGATTAGTTTGTCGCGCAGCTACTTGAAAGATCTTATGATTTTTCCTTTAGCTCAACTAGATTAGTCATTTCGAGAACCAGAGATTAAAATTAAATAAGATATACAGCAAGTCTTCTGAAAATGTAATGGATCAGAGAATTAATAAAACACAAACAAGTTTTTCAAGTAAAATCTCTACACATTTATTCATTATTATCTGTTTTAAATTAGTCAATTATATTTTCTTCTTCTTTATCTTATATTTTAGATACCTATTTACTTTCTAACGAAATAGTTTTTTTTTCATCTTTTTTCTGTATTTCCTATGTAAATTAAATTATGAATTTCTTTCAAATTTTCTCGTATTTTTTATCATGTGTTTATATCAAGAACAATTTTTTACATCTAATTAAAAAAAAAGAAGTCAAGAAAAAAAATTAAACTATCATGTCCTATTTTTTAATGAAAATTAATTACAATGAAAATGATTCAAAATCATTGATTTATCATCTTAGTGCTTATTTTAAAAGAAAATACGATCGCGGTGTGAAAAATAAGTCAAAAAAACGTTGTTGAGATCTTTTTTATCTGCAATGTAATTAGCTCCTTGCATTTATGAGTAGTTGATGCTGTTTCCTCCTTGATTTTTTTTTTTTTTATACAAAAATCCGAATATTGTCCTGCATTACATGATTCTTTTGTTCTATTGCACTGTGTAGGATAAAATTAATCAAATTTATAAGAAATGTAGTAATAGAAATAAGAGAACTTACCATCTAAGAAACAGATCCATTATTTACAGTTTTTTAATATTTAATCCTTGACACTCTACTGCTGTTTTTGTGATGACTGAGCATTGTTTGTAGAATCTTTTGAAGTCTTGCAGTTATTGCAAATGAATTCCATATCGGGCTTTACTTCTTTAATTTTAAGACCAACACAAACCATATGATACCAAACTTCACAACCGCCATCGCACAAAATCCAATCTTGTACGGATTCTAACGAAGAAAAAAAATCATGTAAGTTAAGACATTTAAAAACATTAATAAATTCTTACCTGATGGTCGTTGACAACTTGCAACACCACACGTTTCATAAGCGTCGGATTCTTCTGGAGAGTCGGTGTCAGATTCATTTTGTGATGCTGCTTTTGTATTTTCATCCTTTTCTGTTTTCTTATTATTATTATTATTATTATTGATTTTTTGAACTTTCGGTTTGATTTTCTTCTCTTTTGGAACTTTTGTAACCTTTTTGACAGGTTTTAAAGGCTCAACTGGTACATTTGATTTGATATTATTGTTTGCAGCAATAATCGGAGAAGGTGCTTGTATTGAATTATTTTCAGATGATAAAACCGACGTATTTTGTTGCGGTATCTTCTTCTGGCGTTTTGGCTTAACTTTTTCCTTCGGTTCCTTTTCTTTTTCAGCTTTAATAACTTTCTTTATATTATTCTTCTTTTTTACCAAACGTTTCTTATTCCCTGTCGACAATTTTCCCTTTTTAGGTAACGTCCCATCAGCCTCTTCGATATCCATCACATCATCGCCATCAATATCATCATCATTGTCTGATAAATCTAATGGCTCTTTCTTTATCTCTTCCTTAATTTGTTTATTGTATTTTCTTGGTGGTTTTTCTTCATTTGGAAAAACTTTACGTTTTCTAGTATTATCTTCGCTATAAACGCGCAATGGCATTTCCAACTGTAAAAGTAATGAAATAATAAAATAAAAATAAAAAAAATAATTTTCGTTCATAAAAATACATTCAATGTCTCAAATTCAAACTTACCGGAATATTATACTTTTTACGAACAACTTCCAACTCATTGTTGTAATTCTTTGCGGCATTTAATAATCTCCACAAATAAATTGTTTCGTCCAAAGTTACTTCAAGGAGATCTCCTTCCATCATTAATTCCTCAAGAAATTGAAGTGTTGCTTTGCTTAATTGAACTGTAGGTGGATTGGGTAGACTTAATACTTTTTCTGATGAGTTATCAAGCATCCTGTACGTGAAATGAAATAAGAAAACATCAAAAATAATTTTTGCTTTGCTTTAATAAGTCAACTAACGTGTCATGATTTTCCTCGTCAGATCCATCAGATGAATGTTGAATAGCATCTGCTTCATTCTTCGGTTTTCCCTTAGCTTTTCGGTTTCCTTTTCGTTCCTGACCATCTTTATTATTCCCTTGCTGTTCAACTTTCGGCTGTTTTTGTTGATACATTGAAAACTCCAATAAAGCTGCCTCTATATCCTTACGTTTAAGTGCCTGACGAACACGTGCTTGCCACTGCATTGCTCGTTCTGTAACACTGTGTATAAAAAATAAACAATTAGTCACCATTCGTTAATTTATGCCTTTAAAGCATTTAAATTAAAAGAAAAAGAAAAAAAATAAATGAAAATAAATGACTTACCACTGGATAATTTCACCTTCTGGAACGCGTAGAGGAATTTGTTGCAACGACAACAGCAAGGATAATATGCTTTCCAATTTCGGTCGTTTAGTACGCATGCAAATGGGACACAAATATTTACTTCGTAGTTCCAAAGGTTCTTGCTTTGTATCATAATTTTTAGACATTGGTGGGACGCATGATGAGTGGAACCAATCTTTACACAATTGACAATGATACATGTAGCCCATAAATCGTCCTTTACATAAACAAAATGCATCGCGCTCATAATTCTTTTCGATATTGAGTCGACGAATTTCAGCAATTCGACAAATTTCATTCTTTTCAGCTTTTTTGAATGTAGCAACGACTACAGCAGGTCCCAAATCTTCTAAATAACTTCCTTCACTTGTTCCATTCGAGCTATTGGCCGATATTGTTGATGAAGATGATGCTGTAGAGCATGGAGAGGCTGATTCACAATCGTCACTTCCAGCACGAATAGGTGGTGATGAAAGTGATGGAGGAACAACAGCAAAAGTCAAATCTGATTCATATTTTGGGGTGAGAGCTTCGAGAAGTGTATACTTTGTATTCTTTTTAAGGAACATTTGATTTGCCTGCTCCTTCCATGAATTAGCTTCATTTACGTGCTTCTCCATAATTTGAATCTGTTCAAGTTGGAATGGCAATGATTTTGCACTGTTTATGATAAATTCTAGTGAATCAACGTAAGGACAATTTTCGTCAGACTGAAGTGCTTCAATGTGTTCCAAAACTTCCTTTGCACGATCAACTGCTTCTTTTAAGATCGAGAATGATGGCAAATAGCCTTTAACTTGTTTTCCAAGTCTAAGCAAATCTTGTACATCGCGCAATTGGACGGAAACAGATGACTCGAATATTTTTTGAGCGCGATCTTCCCATAATTCCATTTCCATAATTATTTCTTTTATTTCATTTAATTGTCGCTCAATAATGTAATGCGGTGGAATTTTCATACCTTCTGTTAAATGCTTCTTTAACGTGTTCAATTGATGCTTTTCTGTTTTATCACGATATGAGCGAATCATTCGGTACCAATTTACTTGCTCTAAACGAGCTTTTAATTGATCAAGTTGTGGCAATTCGATACATAATGTACTTCCATCCTGAATAGTTTTCTGAAGTTCTTTTGGATCATTTGTTTTAATTGTCTCTTGATTAAGTAATCGTTTGACTGTATTTACAAAATCATAGCCCATTTGTTGAAGTTCTTTGACTGTAGCGAAATCGTCAATTGTGCAACATAAATTATCAAGTTCGAGGACAAATAAATCTAGTTCCTCTAATGTTATCTTATAGCGTGATGCAATGTCATTTGAATTTCGTGTGCGTATTTTATTAATGTCAAGTTGCTGAATTACTGTGATGCATTTTTCAGCCTCGATTAAAGACGAATTAAGACGATCCAATAATGGACTTTTTGGGAACTTTTTAACTTTTGCTTCCATTGCAAGTTCCTGAAGTTCTTCAAACGTGACTTTTGTTGATATAGATGGATCCAAAATGTTTCGTACTTTTGTAAGCCATGTCTCAAAAGATTCAGCTTTAATCTTTAATTTCTTAAGCATTAAGGGCAATTCATCAAGCGTATAACGATACTTTAAAGTATGTTGCTCAGGTGAGCAATTACATAAATCTTTATAGTGCCGTAAACAAACCAATGCAGGCGTACAAGTGCAACTGACTGCTGATAAAAAGCAAGTCGTCTTACAAATATCGCAAATACGTTCATCATCTTGAAGCAGTTCAAAAGCTTCACGTTGTGCTTTTGTAACACCCCATTCAAGTAATGCCTTTCTCATTCTCTTTTCGGAATCAATCATCTCTACCATGTCGAGGTAGCAAGCTGTTGCAATACCCAAATTTAATCGTTCCGTTTCTAGTGCCATTTTACAAATAATCTCATCGTGTGAAAATACGCAATAACGACGCATTTGAGAATAATGATTAATGCACTCACGACCCATTGTAATCCAATCAGCTGGACAAAAGTTAACAGCTTCTGCAAGATTATAGCCTTGATTAAAGCCTGCATGATAAGAACGTGGAAATGTGATGACAAAATCTCCTGCATGTTGGTCAGTTCGATAAACAGGAACACCATCAGCCATAAGTATATTTGGATTCATAATTGTAACAAGTTGATGTAACAAATCAGGCTGTCCAGCAAATAATTCCGGTGCTTGTCGTTTCATTGTTTGTTCGAGTTTCTCAGCATCTGCGCCTGGAACTCCGTACCAAGTTTTCGGTTCTCCCCAATGCATGTAGTTTATAGAATAGCTCCAGTGGTCTTCATTATGCCAGCAAAATGTTGCAAAGCACTAGAAATAAAAAAAAAATATAATTAATTTTTATTGACGCATATAGAAATAAAGTTTAAACTTACCATTCCACTATATAACCAGCTTCTGTTCATTCCACTGATGTCATCATTGATGTAGGCAAGAAGAGATTCTTCTAAAACTGGAAAATTTATCAAATTCCATCCACTCTCTGCATACAATTGATCCTCTGGTGACAAATCGAGTGAATCTTTTGAAGGAAATCCACTTCCGTGCTCAATTGTATGTAAATCAGCTGCATATTCTACAGTTACGTCCTCTTCGACACTTGATGTGATTCGCCAGAACTCTTTTTCGACAACTTCGGTTGGAACCATATGAACAGGCATGTTGAAATATTCAGATTTAAATTGATCTGCCATTTCTCCGAATTCTTTCAATGAGTATTCACGCGATGCTTGTTCAAATCCAAATGCTTCTGCTGGTTTACTGACTTCTTCACAAACGCATTTTGGACAACGCCAATCACCTTTTGGGATGTCATTAAGCGGTGGAATTAAACAAAATGTATGATAACTATCATCACATCCATCGCATAAAAGCATAGCTTCTTCCACATCTCCACGATTACAATTAAGACAGACATACTTAGCCAATGGATCTGATTTAGGAATAAATCGATTTCCACGACCAATTTTAGATGGTGAAGATAGACGTTTGGTTGTAGGTGGCAGATTTGATTGTAATCGTCGTAATTCAGCATTTTTAGACAAATTCATTTCTCCACTATCTGGTTCAATATTTTGAAATCGTTTAGAACGACGAGCTGCAACTTCCGCTTGTGGCTTAACGCCTTGTCGAGACAATATACAATGAGGCTTATAATCGCAATCATCAGATTCCTCTCCTGCTTCTAGGCTCTGAAAGTTCGAGAATAGAATAAATGAAAATGGCATTTCAGTTTAAACACAAAATAAAACGAATTCTGTATGTATATCATGTTGAATTATGGCTGACATTAATAACTCAAACTTTGATTCTGTATTTATATCGAAAATTGTTCCAATAATTTACTTGCAACAACTTTAAATGATGTTGTCTAAAAAGCCATAAAATAAATAAAATACTTACTGCGCCATCAACGTGCTTGCCACTCATATAGATATCATACGGGTACAAGATTCTTTCATAATGTCCTTTCAATATAGTTCCAACATTTTTTCCATTTGGATACTTTAAGCGACCTGCAATTTTTGACCATTTTCGTTCTTTTGTGACTATTTCCAGTCCTCCTTCTTCATGGACACATCGATGCAAAGTATATAAATCAAGTTGCTTTCTTTCAACCATTGGAATTTTCAGAGAGCTTCCTTGTAACTCCCAAAATTTTGCAATTTGATCGAGAAAATTAAGTTTGATACGAGTTTTTGCCTGTCAAATGAGTTTTAAAGTTGATGATTGTGAAAATAAGGAAAAAAGTTTAATCATATCACCTCTAATTCATTAATTCTTTGAACTCTCGGTGTAAAACGCAATTTATCAACATCAAGTACAAAAGATGGTTGCCATCCCTAAAAAAAATTAATTAAAGAGAGAAATATAGAGAGATTCAGTATAATGCAAATGTGCATGAGAATTGCGAAATGTTGGTGTGGTGAGAAAAGAAGAAGAAATATGAGGAATAAAAGCACACGCAATTTCGTAGTGAATCGATTGCATGTGAGTGAGATAGAAATAAAAAGAGAGATTGGGTCTGTCGAGAATATGCAATGTTACATAGAAGTAATGAAAATGGTCGGAATAATAAGAAGAAAAATCAAAAGTTTTTTTTTGTGTATTCTTTGCGAACGTGAATGTCGACGAAACTTTAATGGCGGCAAAGTGCATAAATTTTCATGATCAATTTTTTTGTCTCCATTCATAGACCTATCCTTTTCTTCCGAATGATCATGACTATGCTATGGACACAAGTGTCGTCACATTTTCGAATGTAAAGAGAAGAAAAAAGTTTAAGTCACGGTAAATGAAAAAAAGGAAAGGGAAGAATCGAATGGATGAACAAAATATAAAAAAATTATAATAACTTAAACTTACTGCTGGTGGTTTGATTTTGCAGAGACCATATTTCTCAGCTAGCGGTCGAATTTTCTGTATATAGCCGAGTGGATTTTTAAATTCCTCTTCCGTTGGTACGAAAACTGGTGCTTCTTCAGGCACTTCAAATTCAAATTCCTCATATTTATCCATCTGCCAATGCGGATTAGATGGCTTTTTTGGGGAATTAAGATCTAGTGGATCTCGTCCGTGATCAACTAAATATGATCGTGTATTTCCATTATAACTGCTGATTATTGGTTCCTTTTTTGGTGAAACATGACTTTTTCCATTACTTTGAGGAGACATTTTTGTTAAAATATCGGCAGACATGTTTATTATTTACAAAAAAATTCAATTTATTTCACTCTTTGTCCTTTATAATCCAGATCGGTACTGGCTTAAAATGTTATTTCTATTATGCTGCACTGGGCGATTTTATTACTGACACAATTTTCACGAATTATACTACTTAATAAGATAATTATAATGTTAATGATAATTTTTCTTTCTCAATTGGATATATCGATGACTGTACTTTTTATAAATTTTCACTTTTTCCTTTGAAATCAATTTTTTTGTAAGTTTTTAACACTTTTGACTCTTTTTAGCGATTAAAAACTTATCAATTATGCTGTTTTATACTTCTTTTACAAAATATAATAATTTAATTTCACTTCAATTCTATATCTATCATGTTGGCGAGACGTTACTGTATTTTCATTTTCCATTTTTCACTGACTTTATTTTTTTGCAAATTTTTCACACTTTCCACCTTATATTTTATCTATTCTTCATATCACTATGATTATTTAAGGTCTTAGAGACACAATTTACTATATTTCAATATTATACGAACGACTTTTAAAGATTTACGACGATTTTTATTTTCTTAACTTCTTCATACCCTTTCAAACAACTTCCCTTTTAAACATTTCTCGTGCATTGCCAGCCCGCCCTTGCAGCAAATTAATATATGTTTTGATACAATTTAACTTCTCCAATATGCCCTGCTCTATGCTCACAATTTATGCTAGATCTTTTTTTAAATTGAATTAGAACTTTATTGACATAACTTAATTACAAACTTTAAACCTAAATTAGACATGTACTCCATCGATATAAATCTTTATCAATTGAATATCAATTAATCATATATTTCTTTTTTAATAAATTGCGATCAGATTGCATCAGATAGAAAAGAACAATAATTCAGTTTGGTGCGATTCTTCTATGATCAATTTTCTCCAATATCACTAAAGGCTTGAGCTTCTCAGCAAATACCCTCATATCTTCCGCAACAGCATCAGCACCAACGGGGGCTAATAACGATAATTCAACCAAATAACTGCCAGACAACGGTTCTTGATTCATTGGTCTGAAGATTTTTGATACCGTAATCTTCATCCTGCCTTTACGGAACAAATATCCTGAATAAAATAAATAAAAATCAGAACATAATATTTGTTAATAAACCATACAGCACATCATACCTCTAACTGTGTATTCGAATTCCAGCCTACAACCCATTTCTGTTAAAAATTCCATAATTGATGGTGAACAACTGATGTCAAAACAGGAACGAACTAATGTAGGCCTTTTTGTATCTCCTAATTCTGGATTTCCAACATACCTTAATTGCCAAGGCATATGACTGTCTGCTGGATCATTCGAACGTCGAACTCTTAATAAAAGTGGAGCTGTATGAATCGCTTGCTCGTCTGCAATATTCCTCAATGAAAAACAAGCTTCATAATCATGAAATTGTTCTGGTGCTGTCTCCACATTATCGCAAAGACCTTTGAGCCTTTAATAAAAATGAATTAGTGAAGTCATAACTTAATTAAAATGAAATTGCTTACCTATGAAGAAGCCGCTGAACTTGAACATCTAAAATTGATCCCTGAAGCAAATATTCTTGATTTGGAATAATGTTGACTTTAGACGCTTGTAATAAGCTATCCATTGCAGCTATTGGTTGATTTTCTGAAGTCATTTTAATTTTAATTTTTTAATAAAACTAGTTTCAAACAAAAACACACAAGCAAGTATAGGATACACAATTACTTTTGAATCTTTGTAAAGCGTTGCTTTTAGGGGTCGATCACAAATTACGTCAAGCTAAGAAATGACTTTTTCGACCCCTCCCTCCTCCAAATGTATATCTATGCAGAAAGTATTTTTTGTTGATATGTCTCAAATTCTTCAACCGCTTCACTATGGGATAAAATCGAATTTTTTTTCCAAAAATTATTTTATTGGCTTATTTGAAAGGTCTTTATCCAAGGAATCAGAATCTATTTTAATTTTGGCCCAAAGTGCAGCAAGTCATGTAAGTTTTACTTCATGGAAAGCGCTTAAAAATTGACGAAACTTCAAACGTTAGTAGTACGGCACACTTTTTTTGGGGAAGGAGATTACTGATGCATTTAAATGTTTTTCTTTTTTCATTAAATTGTAGCCCTTTGCTAGATCTACAAGAAAAATATCACTTTAAAGGTTTAAAATTATATTTATGCATCAAAAAATTAAGATTTTTTCGAAAAATATAGGTTTTTTACTATGTTTTGACTTCAATTGACTATAACTGCATATTCCAAGTAAGTGGAGAGACAAGTTTTAACTGTTTTACATAGCTCTCACTTGTATATTTCTGAAACTGTGAAAACCTGGAAAAAAGTTCAGCCAAATTTTCAACTTTGAACCATTTGAAACATGTCATCTGCATACACCTCAAAAATATTTTTCAACTTTTTTCATAAAAATCATCCCCAAACTTGATGAAAGTTTCAGGAATGATAGAAAATAGAGTTTTTGATGTTTTAAAATCAATTTGAGTTTTTGGCATGGACTTGGATCATTTTTATTTGAATTATCAGTATTTTCCATTTTCTCTGAGATGTAAATGACTTTAAATATACTATATGCTTAACAAAAAATATTTTTGTTGCCTTTCCTGTTAAGCTGCTTAAATTAACTTTCCAGCGATATATAATGTCATATATGAATACAATGTGCTTGAATAATGATGAAAAAACTGTAAAATTACTCAAAATTCGAGGTGTGTGAAGAACCATACTTAACATTTTTGCTCAAAACTACATAAAATCTCAAGTATATGTCATAAATTTGGTATTGTTGGAAAGATAAAAGTACTGGCTATAAGATGAAAAAAAAATTTTGAGTTGAGAATTTACACAGGACACTGCTAGCGTATGGGAAACTTGTCATAGATTGACCAGCCCTATCAGACACAGCAAAGATAAAAATTTTATTTTTTCTCATGTTTTCTACAGAAAAATACTTAAACAATATGAAAAACACCAAAAAAATACTTACCGGCATATATTTGCAGTAAATGAGCTCAAAGAAAGTATCATTAATTTTTGTAAATTATATTAGATCATCTAAAAATCAATGCCTTTTCTTCGTACTCGTATGGTGCGATATACGTTTGAAAATTAATCTTTTGTGTTTTTCAGATAGTTTAAGTTTGTTTCTGTTAAAAACATGAGAAAAAATAAAATTTTTATCTTTGCTGTGTCTGATAGGGCTGGGCAAACTATGACAAGTTTCCCATACGCTAGCAGTGTCCTGTTTAAATTCTCAACTCAAAATTTGATTTTATCTTATAGCAAGTACTTTTATCTTACCAACAATACCAAATTTATGACATATACTTGAAATTTTATGTAGTTTTGAGCAAAAATGTTAAGTATGGTTCTTCACACACCTCGAATTTTGAGTAATTTTACAGTTTTTTCATCATTATTCAAGCACATTGTATTCATATATGACATATTATATATCGCTGGAAAGTTAATTTAAGCAGCTTAACAGGAAAGGCAACAAAAATATTTTTTGTTAAGCATATAGTATATTTAAAGTCATTTACATCTCAGAGAAAATGGAAAATACTGATAATTCAAATAAAAATGATCCAAGTCCATGCCAAAAACTCAAATTGATTTTAAAACATCAAAAACTCTATTTTTTATCATTCCTGAAACTTTCATCAAGTTTGGGGATGATTTTTATGAAAAAAGTTGAAAAATATTTTTGAGGTGTATGCAGATGACATGTTTCAAATGGTTCAAAGTTGAAAATTTGGCGGAACTTTTTTCCAGGTTTTCACAGTTTCAGAAATATACAATTGAGAGCTATGTAAAACAGTTAAAACTTGTCTCTCCACTTACTTGGAATATGCAGTTATAGTCAATTGAAGTCAAAACATAGTAAAAAACCTATATTTTTCGAAAAAATCTTAATTTTTTGATGCATAAACCCGAACATACAATGAGTATACTCAGAGCACATTATTTGTGAGCTTGCAAACTTTTGTGAGAATGTGCTCATTTCATACATTAAAGTGATGCGATCACGGTACCTTTTTGAGTATGCTCAGTGAGCACATTCCTTTGTGACATGCATTAAGCTCAATGAGTAAACTCATGAGCATACTCAAATGAGTAGGCAACATGCCACACGCAACATATTTTTAATGCAACATTTTTTATTGAATATACTTATGAACATTCTCAAAGAGCATATACTCATAAACATACTCAAAGAGCTTATACTCATGAAGATACTCAAAATATATATGCGCAGTGAGTTTATTTATGAGTATATGCTCATCTGAGCACATTCATGAGTGCAATCAGTTAAAGTCGCAAAATTCAAAAAAATTAATTAAGTTAAATTTGAGTTTTATAAGGGATAATTCTGTGAATAATTTTGGAAGAGTTATTAATTATTATTAACATTTTATCTCAAATACTTATGAAGGAAGTTTTAAAAACCGGTCACCCATCCTTGTAGAAAAACCTATTGCGTTGCTTAACTTCTGTCACCTCACACTTTTCATTGGAGCAATTTTCTGTAAATATATAATAATTTTTATATGGCAAAACACATACTTAAATTATTATATTATTACAGGCAAACTAAGTTCTTTGAAGTTTGAAACGCTGCTTAATTGAACTATATTTTTATGAAATATTTGAGTTGATCAGAGCACGATCGTGAGAACATATTATGAAAAATGTCGACCAACTTAAAATTAAACTTAGAATACATTTTTATATTAGTCGACATTTTAAAAAATGTCGACCAACTTAAAATCGAACTTAGAATACATTTTTTTATTAGTCGACATTTCTAAAAAATGTCGACCAACTTAAAATTAAACTATGAATACATTTTTATGTAAGTCGACATTTTCAAAAATGTCGACCAGCTTAAAATCGAACATCGAATACATTTTTATATTAGTCGACATTTCTAAAAAATGTCAACAAACTTAAAATCAAACTTAGAATACATTTTTATGTAAGTCGACATTTTCAAAAACGTCGACCAACTTAAAATCGAACAAAGAATACATTTTTATGCAAGTCGACATTTTTCAAAAAATGACCAACTTAAAATTAAACTTAGAATACGTTTTTATGCAGGTCGACATTTTTTGAAAATATTTTATGAATTTAAATATTCGTTCCATGAAAGCCAAAAGATTTTGATCGTGCTTAATTCTTATAGTTTTTTAAAAGCGAAGTAATTTTTAATTTAATTCCTTGAGAAACTCTTGACATTTATTTCAGAAAACTTAAAATTGTAAAAAGTTTCGTACATTTTTGTATTACATATCTAAAATATTCAACATTTGCTTTTAAGTTGGTTGACAATTTTTTAAAAATAACATTTTAAAAAATGTCAACTATCATTAAAATATATTCTAAGTTAGATTTTAAGTTGGTTGACATTTTTTAAAATGTCGACTAATATAAATATGTATTCTAAGTTTGATTTTAAGTTGATTGACATTTTTTTTAAAATGTCGACTAATATAAAAATGTATTCTAAGTTTGATTTTATGTTGGTTGACATTTTTTTAAAATGTCGACTAATATAAAAATGTATTCTAAGTTTGATTTTAAGTTGGTTGACATTTTTTTAAAATGTCGACTAATATAAAAATGTATTCTAAGTTCGATTTTAAGTTGGTCGACATTTTTAAAATTCACATAAGTATGTTCTTAATATTCTCATGAGTATGTTCAGTAAGTGCACTCATATGAGAACGTAAAAAAATTATGTCACATAGAAGTGAGTATGTTCTTAATATTCTCATGAGAATGTTCAGTAAGTGCACTCATACGAGTATATTCACATAAGTATGTTCTTAATATTCTCATGAGAATGTTCAGTAAGTGCACTCATACGAGTATATTCACATAAGTATGTTCTTAATATTCTCATGAGAATGTTCAGTAAGTGCACTCATACGAGTGTATTCACATAAGTATGTTCTTAATATTCTCATGAGTATGTTCAGTAAGTGCACTCATATGAGAACGTAAAAAAATTATGTCACACAGAAGTGAGTATGTTCTTAATATTCTCATGAGAATGTTCAGTAAGTGCACTCATACGAGTATATTCACATAAGTATGTTCTTAATATTCTCATGAGAATGTTCAGTAAGTGCACTCATACGAGTGTATTCACATAAGTATGTTCTTAATATTCTCATGAGTATGTTCAGTAAGTGCACTCATATGAGAACGTAAAAAAATTATGTCACACAGAAGTGAGTATGTTCTTAATATTCTCATGAGAATGTTCAGTAAGTGCACTCATACGAGTATATTCACATAAGTATGTTCTTAATATTCTCATGAGAATGTTCAGTAAGTGCACTCATACGAGTATATTCACATAAGTATGTTCTTAATATTCTCATGAGAATGTTCAGTAAGTGCACTCATACGAGTGTATTCACATAAGTATGTTCTTAATATTCTCATGAGTATGTTCAGTAAGTGCACTCATATGAGAACGTAAAAAAATTATGTCACACAGAAGTGAGTATGTTCTTAATATTCTCATGAGAATGTTCAGTAAGTGCACTCATACGAGTATATTCACATAAGTATGTTCTTAATATTCTCATGAGAATGTTCAGTAAGTGCACTCATACGAGTATATTCACATAAGTATGTTCTTAATATTCTCATGAATACACTCGTTGAATGGACTCACGTGAGCTTATAAATTTTTTGCAAAA